GTTGTTGAATTATTGTGGGCGAAAAAGCTTAATTTTCACGTTTTGTGTAGGCGAATTAAAGTTTAAATTTTCCTTTGCTAGACTTGAAAATTCAAATTTAAAAAATACGTTAAAAAACTTATTCAACGTTTTAAAGCTATTCTTTATGATGCCAAGATGGAAAATTTTTATAGCCACAAAATACGTAAACATTATAATGAGAATATTGCGGTTGAATGAGGAAGTCATTAAGGCATTAATCAGAATCCTCATTTCCAGTGTAATTAACAAGAATCTCAAATGTATCCCATTTTTATGCGAGCCATTCTTAAAATTCTCTATAAAAGTCCATAATAGAAAAAAAAAATTGAGGGATAAATTTTCTTTTTATTAAAAAACGAAATTGCAAAACACCAAAAAAATCGATTAAATATAAAAAAAAATTGAAAAAATTATAAAAAAAATTTCTAGAATGAATTTTTAACACATTAATTTTCTCATAAAACGTGAATAAATAACGTAAATTTGATTTATGTTTTTGTGCTTAGTAGTTATTTGTAGTTGAGTACAAATTTTTTATCGTTTTTATTTTTCCATTGAAGACCAAAAAAACAAACAAAAAAAAAATCACAATCATGCAATCAATCATGAAACAGTAAGAAGAGAAAAGAAATAAAGAAGTTGAAAAAATATTGCAATATTAATATATTTATAGTCAAAGCTTTATTTTAAATTTTTTATAATATACATACTTAATCTTAGTAATCTTTGAAGGTAAAAATAAAACAAAGAAAAATAAAAATTTGGGTATTTAAAGTGAAAAATTAAATTCGACTTTGTGTGTTTTATTTATTTTTCTTTGATTCTGTCTGATTTGTCTGCAGGAAATTGCTCGATGTGATTGCTTTTCATGTATTGGTAAGAGTAAACATTTGATTTATCATTGAAAAAGATTGGTTTTAGCAAATTTAAAGAATAAGTTTTATAAATTCTGAAAATCTGTTTTTCATAAAGTCGTTAAAATTTGAATTTACAAAATCCGTTAAAACTTGAATTTCTCCCAATGAATCTAAGCTGCAAATCCCTCATTGATTAATATAACCGCAAGGCTTTTAATGATTTGTAAACTTTTGTTTTGGGACTGATTACGATTCTCCAAAAATGCTCTTTAATCATCCATCATGCGGCTTTCCTTTTACAATTTGTATCTTTATGCTCCAACAGTGAAAAGCGAAATTCATTTATTTACTTTTGGATCCCAATAAACAAGCCAAACTTGACTAAAGGGCATTTTTCATGAATTTAATGAGCGTCTCAGATTGACATGTTTGCTAAATGGAAGCAGAACTTTGTGTTTATATTTATCTTGTTTCAATAAACAGTAAGTGAATTTTAAATTTTAATTTTGTATTCTTTTAAAGATGAAAAGGAAGTGATTCCGCGAGGCTAAAATAGTCAACAGTTTAAAAAAAAATTAATTAAAATCGCCATACTGATTCTTTGTGATACTTAATTTGATATTTTTGCTTAATTTTACCAGATAATTGGAGCAGAAAACTCATTAAAAGACTCTTTATCGAGATGGGGGAAGTTAAAAATGAATCAATTAAAAATGTTAATGTTGATGTCTGCTGGTTGCTTGTTAACACTCAATACAAAGTGTTATTAATACTGGATTTAAATTAATGAAATGTTCCCGGGGAATTTTCAATTTAATTCTTTTACTTTGTATTGCTTTAAAGCCTTAAAAAGGTCATTCGATCAAGGAGTTCTTCGTCTATGACAATCAACATTTGGTCAGCAAGACTTTGGACAGCGATGGGGTGAGTAGAAAGTAGAAGTAGAAGTCCTTTTTTAAGTCCATCCATTCATTATCCTACAGTAGTCATAATTTATAAACAATCCCGATATAAAACAATGTCTGGTTCACAGATTAACAGCAATACTGTCAACATTTAATGGAAATAAGTGATTAACCTATAAAAAAATGTTGAAGTATCAAAAGTAGGAGGGTGCTCCCATTTAGATTGACTGAAACATTTTCAATTTCTGCAATTAATTCCGAGAAATTTTTAATCTAGCTCAACTAGACTTGACTGTTCGACATGAATACTTTATTTATTAAAAAGTCTCATGTCCAGATGGTGTACGTTTTGATTTTGAGAAGGGTTCATCGGTTTGGTGGCTTTTGAAGCAATTTTTCAACTATTTCTGATGCTTTAATTTTTATAATCCTTTCATTCTGTTTAATTTATAAGCACGCGTATGGGCAAAGTACATCCATTAATAGATTAAGTATTTTTCAAAACAAAGAGATTAATTAATGAACTAAAATCACGCAGACAGTATTAAGTGTGTATTATGCCACTCCTTCCTGCTGATGATGCAATAAACCTTTACGTGTTTGATGAAGCATAATGTCATCATTTATATTTAGCTCAGTCCCTTGGTAGCTGTCTAAAAAAGGCGATGTGATAATTTGGATGTCCTTGTTAAGGAATCCTATAGCTTCTGGAAATAGTGATAGTATAAATAACTTAATTTCAAGGTAGTTACTCATATAAAATAAATAAGGCATCCTTCATATTGTCAGTTGCATATTTGAGTCTTAGTGTTATAATATTGAAGGTGTTGTTTAGGAAATATTGGCAGCGCGCTTTGAATTAATGTCATTGATAGATGCTTTAGCTTTAAGCTTACTTTCCATCTTAGACATACAACCTTGGTCTCGTTGATGCAGATTCGACGATTTTACTGAAGCTTATCGTTGAAAATAAAGAACAACCCTACAGCACTTTTGTCAATGCTAAAAAACAACTTTGCAAGTATGTAGGACGGGATTTGTAAATACATATAGTAGCATTCACAGGAACAATGCATTTAACATTCATAAAATCACTTTAGTATAGCTTCCTTTTGCATTATTCTCAGTAAACTACACAACAATTGAATGTATTAACAATATAAAAGGCAGTCATACGAATAGATTCCCTTTCATTTTCCTGGTTGCTTATCCAAACTACTCAAAATTCAAAGAATCAATTCCCAATGCAACTGAAAAGAAAAGCATTCATCAAAGCTTTACAAAACTTAGTATTTGTATCTATCTTCTTGAAATCTAAGAAATCTTTGAATGTACACAGTAAATCGAAAATCAAACACGAGAATCCCAAAGGAAAAGAAACATACCTCGTTCCTTATAAGACAGCATGTGAAAAGTTTTTTTTTTATTTCTATAAAATGAAAGTAGTTTATTGAGCATACATTGCAAAGTATAAGCTAATTCTCATTCATAAAGCATGACGATTTATAGATTTTTGATTGATACTTAAACGTTTCTCAACCAGATTTCGCTCAATTCATACTTCTCGTTTTTTTTTATGGATATGTAAAGCATTGTAAAGCTGTAAAATAAAATTGGTGTGGACTTGGTCGCAAAATATTGTATAAAGCGCATTTATTTGGAAAATAAAAACATAACGACCAAAAATTATTTGAAAAATAACGGTGCGATAATATTTGAAATTGAAACTTTAGTAGAAAAAAAGGACAAACTGACAAATTCTTTACTTTTTAACAGAGATCGAAGCCGATTTTTTCGGCTTAACTCAATTTTTGATTTTTTTGATAGAAAAAAGCCATTTAACACCCATTTTAAGTATTTAATTTGAACTTTACATGCTTTACTATGATTCTGTGAAATATTTTTTCAGCATGTAGCTATAGGAAGCTCAGAATTTCAATTTAGCCGATTTTAAGCCGATCGGCTTAAATTTCGGCTTAACATTCTTTAACTTGAAATTCTGAGCTCACTATAGCTACATGCTGAAAAAATATTTCACAGAATCATAGTAAAGCATGTAAAGTTCAATTTAAATACTTGAAATGGGTGTTAAATGGCTTTTTTCTATCAAAAAAATCAAAAATTGAGTTAAGCCGAAAAAATCGGCTTCGATCTCTGCTTTTTAATAAAATGCACTTAAAAAGTAATTGAAGGAATATTGCCAGTAATAAAGAACATGTAAAATTTTTTTTTCTTTCATTTTCATTTTTTCTCAATTCATTTTATTGCAATATATTAACATTCAATTTTATGCTAATAGTTTGAGTATCAGTGCCATTATTTTATATTATATGTGTGACATGATTTTCATTCAGCATAATCTTCACATTATGATCATCATAATAAAATAAAATAGGAAACAAAATCACTTTCCTTCAGTTTAATATTCTCTGCTCTCGGTTCGCGCTTCTTCCATAAAGGAGAAGTTAAATGTACTGTTTTAATTTAAGGAACAAAAAAAATTATTTGCACTTATAAAAACATGTTATACATTTAACAATGTGTAAGTATATAATGTGTGTATGTATGTATATCATACTAACAGTCGACGAGTTATAACTAACAGATTAAGACTAGATATGATAACAACAACAAAGCTAAACAATTTCAATGGACTTCAACAGTTTTCTCTTGTTTCTTGATTGGGTTTGGATTTAAAGGATCTTCGGGAAATTGTCATCAATTTTATATTTTTGTAAATAATTTGTTTCTTTTCAATTCTTATAGCACACCTTGTTTTACTTGATTCTATAAAACTATTTTAAAGTACTGGTCATTGTAAAAATCTCATTACAGATTTGTATAAATTTTAATCTCTTGAGAGTTTTTTGAATTTGATGAAAATTAGTTGAATTTAAATTTTCTCGAAAAATTTGTTTAAAATCAAGTTTTCAAAATATTTTTCATTTTAAAATTCGAGTTTTTGGAAAAATTTTGATTTGCAATTTTATTTTCGAAATTGCTGAATTTCACAAATTCCAAATATTAATTCTTTTTTTTACTCATCTTTCATCAAATTTAGCAATTTTACATTTTTATAAAAGTTTTAAAAATCTTTGTTGATCATTTTTGCGTAATTAAAACAAATTTTGCTAATTTTAAAAAGTTCCAAAACTTCACAGACTAATTAGTAATGTTAACAAAATTTAAATCTCAATCTATAACAATCTACATCATTCCTACAACACTATTCACAACATCATTTCTTCTACAATTTTGTATTGACAATTTCCGATAATTTTCGTCAAAGTCCATTTCGAAAAAAAGATTGAAACAACTTTTCTTGACACTTCAAATTATTCTTAATAATAAGTCAGTAACAAAAAACAATTTTCATGACACAATAAAAATAATAATAAGTGTCAGTCATAATACACAACATTTTCAGATTCCATATATTTCTATCATTCTTATAGTGAAAATGATGTGATTCAATGAGATAGCGGGAAAAAGAGAGCGGTATAGGAAAAAGTTATACTTTATGAATTGGCTGTGGATGAAGTATGTTATGTAAATATATCTTCCCTCGTTTCATCCATTTCAAGATGCTTTCTATTTTTTGTATATGGCTATATCGTATGATTTTAACATGGTTATTGATAGTTTTGCTACACATAATGAACATTCGAGTCATAAAAATTAAAGTTATCCTTTAAGAAACATGGGAAAATCGATTGGAGTGTCTTTTTGAATGATTCCCGAAAATCTCGATTAAAGTAGGCATAAATAATGGGATTTAATGTTGAATTAAAGTATCCGATCCAAAACAATATTGCTACGACGATGTCAGGGCAGGGGCAATATTCTGGTCCACATAACGATGTTATAACATACCTAAAGAGAAACGAGGAAAATAAATTTATTTCATTCAGCACTTAAAATATCTAAATTAATGGTATTATGTGGGGGTTGTTCATCAATGATGTCACTAGAATATTTTTTGAGTTGTATTGCGATTGATAAGTTCCTTATCATATCGCTAAACATTAAGTGGACAAACACGAATGGGAATCAAACTCACAAACGAGATTTTTTATTTCTTGCCTAGCTATTAGACCACAGATGGCTTAAAACTATAGATTCCACTTTCCTCAATAAATTCAACAACTCTCTTTATCTATAGACATCACAAATGAACAACTCCTTTGCCATTTAATGTTTAATACTCACCATAAGAAGAACGGGAGCCAGCACAGTATAAAAACGCCTTTCGTAACGTATGTTTTAAATGAAGAAAGATTATATTTTATTTTAGTATCAAATCACACACAAAATGAAAGTTTTATAAACATATGTTCTACATGAAACCCCTTCTACAGTAGTCATTAGATGGTACCCCTAACCAAATTAAATTCTAACTTCTCTTATTCTTCATTCTCCGTACTCTTTAAAATATCTGTTCATTGTTAGAGAACAATTGTTAAAATCACTCAGTAGGGCAATAAAAATATGTAAGGAGAAGATAAAGCGGAAGGTAGATGTGCATTAAGCTTTTCACACACATTCATTCATTCATTCATTCTCGTTCTGAATTTAAGGAAATTAAATCCTTATTCTGTCCAGTCGAGTGAGTCTCAAATTTAACATATTTAATTATGAAAAATTTAACTAATTCTGTGCTGAGCTTTTAAGCTTTCACATCCCTGATATCGTTCTGCAACAAAGTTACTCGATAGTGTCAATATAAATTAAATCAAGCAAGTCTTAAGGAAGATTATGAGACGAGACGAGGAAATATTAATGGCAATATTAAAAGAATAAAGTACATCCTCCTGATTAGATATTAAGTTTTGACAGGCAATCTGAACCGTGTAGATTGAAAAGTACACGTGTGTGACTGCAAACAAATGTTTGTTTTAGAATGTAACGAGTTTTATTCTGTACACGCCAGGTGTCATTGAGAAGCCATTCTAATAACTAATATGTTCAGTTTATTTAGCAATGGAGACACGTTTCGGTGCCAAGGACTTGAACGTATTGAATGAGCTTTTGTGTTACTAGTTTGCGATATTAATTTATTAGTGGCTATTAGTGACTTTATTTGGTTTTAGAATTGAATTGGAATCGAAATAAGAATAGCTAGGATTACTTGAAGAGATTCGTGACAAGACTTTATTAAATTCTGTCTGTGGCAGAGTTTACTTTGAGGATCACTGCTTAGAGGAGAAGATTATATTCTAAAGGTCTACAATCTGGATCATACTGTAAGATTTTACTTGATCCAGTTTAAACCTAAAATTGAACCTAAGAACTCTAAAACATAAGCAAAAAGCCCTTCCAACGAGACACTTTATGCCATTTAACCAACATTTCAGCAGTTACAGAAGCCAGATCATATCAAAATTTTATCCACATCTAAATAATGTCTAGTCAGCCATAATACTCGATAATATTTGACTATTGAATACTGATAGCCTTTTTTCAACAAAAAATAATCTGAATCATCAGGGAAATGCGCCATATCAAGTTACTTGTGTACGGATACATCCTCATAAATAAATATTTTTTCTCCTTCCCTTTCAAAAAATGGACAGTAAAATATGGACATTAAAGCATTCTCGATATTGTAAACGGAAGAGATTTCACATGTGAATATATACTTTAATATAAATTATCAATTTTATGTTACATGACATGTTAGACATTTGTAGTTGCTTATCGACTCTTGAATATTATATAAAGTTAGATTGTTGTGCTGTCACAAAACTTTCTCATGAGTACAAGATGTGTACGGTACGGAGAAAAAAATCAATAGCAATTTTAAACTTTCATGAAAGCTTCGTTTAAAGCTTTTAAAGTCACAAAATAATGTTAAACAAAAAAGAATTAGTCATTTGTCATCTGTCAAGAGTAATTGAATTATCTCATAATTTATCATGCAAATTATCTCTTGCCTAAGCTGAATAAAACTTTTTTACTATAAACAATCTGTAGAATCGTTTCCCTTTAGCTGCTGTACATACTCGTAGAATAAAAAAAAAATACAAAAGATATTCTCTAAGGATTGAGTATAGAGAAGCACTCTTTACTCTATGCTTACCCATTATAATTCCCAAAGTCCTTGCTGCTTTATGCTCTGCTCTCCAACCCTTCGAAGGTCTTGTTGATCCAGCACCTTTTTGTGTATGTATACAAAAAATTTATTTTTTTTGGACATCATTTGGGAGTTTTGTAAGGAAGAAAATTCAAAAAAAAAATAATTATTTGATTATACACATTTTGCTTCAAATTGGTGTTAAAGTGTGTAAACGATTTAACATAAGGAGTCGTTATTATTATAGCGCTATAAATTTTTTATTTATTCATTCACTCAAACATTTATTTTTTCTCTTCTTTTTCATCCGACTTGCGATGACTAGCTCACTTCCTCATCTTGGTTACTATTTTTTTTATTAAGATCTTATTATTCGTCCGCAAAAAGTTGTTAATATATACAGTGAAGTAAGTGTAAAGTCTGTGCAATTATGTATTCATAATCAAGCAACACATGAAAGAATAATTTAAAGCACCCCATAACATTGATATTGTTTGGGTTAAGTGGATGGGTGGGAATCATGAAAAATTACAATCTCATTTGCAAAACAATTGTGGATGGGAAGATGTTTGAGTTATCTTGTATCAGATGGTTTTTGGATTCTAAAGGGTAGTAGTCAATAAATATATGCAAAAAATTATGTTTACCAATATTTTATATCCAATTCATATTGTTGAAAATTTTTTGTTATTTGTGAACAGATTTTTTTTTTGTTAAGTACGGACATCAATTTTCAAAAATACACTTACTACGTATAAGATGTATAAATTTTGTCTTTAAATCTCACAATTTTCATTCTTTTTAAGATTTTACTTTAAGAGAAGCGATGACAACTTTGATAATGATATGCTAATCTCTCAATTTTTGGTATTTAAGAAGTGAATGTTTTTGAAGATTTCTTGAAAGTTTCAATTTTGGTTTTATTTGATGAAAGCAAACTTAAAGCAGAAATTTTGAAAAGCTCAAATTCTAAACGACCGTTTAATTTTAAAAATTTAATTTCATTTGTTTTAAAATTGAATTCAAAAAGACAGTTGAGAATATGAATTTTTGAAATGATAAGTTTCGAAAATTCAAATTTTCAATATCTGTTAAATAATCAAATTTTGTTTGACCGAAATTTGTATCAAAAACCGTTAAATTTTGACAAATTTTGTAAAAGCTCAAACAAAAAAAAGACATCAACGAAAGAAAAGAACGCTTTAATCAGCAACGATCTGCGATTATCCAATTTCTAATTATCTCGATGATCTATAGATGATGAGAAAATGTTTTTTTAAATTGAAAATGAACTGACCTTGTGGACTACATTTTTTTCTGTTACGCTTGTAATTTCGCCTAAATAAACATCTCAAACAATCGAAAAAACTCGACTGGACAGATGATTTCGTATCAACGTCACTTTTATAATTGCTCAAAAGCATTTGATTATTGACTTGATTATTATTTAAATCATCCTCATCAGATATTTCATGTTCTTCATAATCGCTGTTGTGTTCTATAAATTTATACCATTTGTCTCCATGAAGTTGCTTTATATTTGAGCCTATTTTCACATACGATTTTGAGATCATGACGTGGTGTGTGTGAGAGAGAAAGAGAGAGGAATAAAGAAAGAAAGAGATAGAGAGATAGATAAGGGAAGAAAAAGTTGACGTAAATAATATAAATATCATGGTATTACTTTTTAAATTCTTATATTTTTTTTTTGCAACGTAAGTTATAAAGTATGAAAATAAGGAGAAAGAAAATTTCATTATGCTGATACATATGTAGCTATATAGATACGATATCAAGTGTTTATAATAAATAAGTATGTACTTATATATTAAAATGAACGTAACGTTTAGAAAGAAAAATAACTTCAAAGCTTTAAAAACGACAAAGCATTCAACAAGGCTGTGCCTTCATAAGTTCGGTTTCTTTTTATATCCTATTTAGCATTTTCACTTCGCTTCAGAGCAACAACATTTTCTCAAAGAAAAGGCGTATTTGATTTAACGTGTCTGGATGAGTAGGTGGGTAAGAATCGTGAGACATTCTCGTACCTACGCATCATTGCCATATGATCTTGATATGATTAAGGATATTGTGGGTGAGCATTAATTTGATAAATTCTGAGAATATTGTTTGTCTAAAATTAGCTAGATATTTATAATGATAACAAATGTCTGCTAAAGATATGATAAATTTATTCTACGTTCGGATTTGACATCCAAAAAGATGAATAAGTCGTGCGAATTTATCTTCATATTTATGATCGTTCTTCTTTTGCAGATTTCTGTGATTTTTTTTTTGTTCCATTTTTTAAAACGTTAGGCTTTATTGTTGATGTTTTTGTTCTACATGTAATTTATCTTTGTAAAGTGCTGTGCTGTGTCTACTATGGGAGTTTTAGCTCACACGGGAAAGCTTTCTCATCTGTTTAAATTTAAAATCTTTTGCAAATGAATTTTTCTTATTGGAAGTCATGATATCTGAGAATGTTGAAAGTTTCTAATAATAAGCAGTCGCATCAACTTCATAACTCTTAAGATGACAGCTGAAATAAGTATTCTGTCAGTTACTCCCCTACTCTCAAAAGCTGTGTGGTTGTAACATATGTGGCATAAAATTGTTTGAGACAAGTTCGAATCTTATTCATGACAAGTTAGCAGGAGTTGAGTTGCCAATAAAATTTTACTTGATTCATGTTTACCTAAAGCAACATTTATTTAGATCCCATTAGCGGTGAAATGGCATCAGTGGCCTAAAAGGTAGAGCGTTGGCCTTCTGTGCCAAAGGTCCTGGGTTCAATCCCAGGCCATGTCTAATTTTCGAAGCTCTTTTTCCATTTCACCGTTCTAGTTACGAAGCTCGGTTCGTGTGTTGGGTGTAGTTTTGAGGTCTTTGGCACAGAATATGCCTCCTTTGCTAGGTATACAAGGATATACTAGCATCTGGATGACTTCCTTACGGCATCTTGCGCACACGAATTGTGACTAGGTTCATTGCAGGGTACATCAGGTCTTATGACGTACTCGTGTCTTTGCAATGTGCAGAGCTTGCAAGTGGTTCGGATCCCACTATAAACTGTAGGTCTAAAGGGTGTGGTACAATAGATTCTGTTCTAATTTGAATCGCAGTGCCTCCAGCTGAAAGGCTGGGCCCTACACACATTATATATATATAGATCCCATACCAAAAATTGGGGTTTCCATGAAATTTATACCTTGAGTCATGACTAGTACAGCTCAAATGATCTAGTGCAGTTGAAAATCTGAGATTAAAGTTACGATTCTTAAGATTTTAATTATTCTATTAAAGAAACTTGATTCTGATTTCCACACCTACATCTCTGGCACTCAATGTTATTGAAAAATAGAACTAAGAAAATTGGAAATTAAATGTCAAGTATCGAAGTCGAAAAATAAATCGGAAGATTTCTTAGAAAAGATTTTTGAAAATTTAACTCTGTTTACTTTTTTGTTCTTTTACTTACTCTTTTGTTTACAAAGCTTTTCAATGCCCCAAAGCCAGCAGAAATGATTTTCTACGATTTATTTGTTAAGAAATTAACTGTTTAGATTTATTTTCACAAATCTTTTGGGGCGTTTAAAAAAATTATCAGAAAATTGTCGGAAGTAATTTTCTACAATTGTGTAGCTGAATAAATTAGAAATATTTTCAAATCAAGAATTCTAAATGCAATTTCGGTCTATTACGAATCCAGCCTTGATTCTAAATAAATTGCCTCCGAACTGTTGCTATAATTATCCGATTTTTCCCTCATCCATTGCTTTCTCAGAAGGAAATGGTCACAGGTCTAGATAAATTTTTGTATGCCACAACACACAACTTTATACTTCATACCTAAAATAATCGAATGGGCCGTAAATATCTCAATAAAGTACCACAAAAACACATTTTGAACGCTGTGTGTGGGGAAGAAATGTACAGAGGGGTCGTTAGCTAGTGATGTCGTTCCAAAATATGAGATTACAAGATCCTTTTCTACATTTATAGACTAATCCAAAATGAAAGACTTTATAAGTCGAGCTACCCCACAGGAAGGAACCCACTTGAAGTATGTAAAGTTAACTGATAAAAAAATGTGCACACAATTCACTGAATATCATTTTTAGTCTTTCCTACTCGTTTCTTTTAAGAAATGACTTGTTAGCTGATAAAACTAAAGACAAGACAAGACTTGTTTGAAATTCATACTATACTCTATGCACGTCTACTCCTGTACATACATACTTATTATGTTTGTAGATATCATTTTCTCATAATATAATGTGACATTGTCAACATTTATGCTTTCAGAGGACTCATGTCGTAGATTCAAGTTTGATTTCAACTTGTTCACACAGTTTTCTTTATACTTCTTTTCCTATAATATTCATCCTTTATTTATCTATCAAGTATCTGTTTATTTATTGCTCCCCCTTACTCTACGTCGCTTCCGCTTCCTTTTATCAAATACTTGGCACAAACATGTTGAACTTATACTTAATTTTAATTACAAACAAAAATTAATCATGTAAATCAATAATCATGCGTTCACTCGGCATTAGCATTAATTTGTAACTCTATTCTAAAATGCTAATTAAGTAAGTTTCATCGATCAAAATTAAAGTATAAAGTTTATTAATCTAAGAAATAGCAATTCATTGTCATTATAAATTTTCATTATTTAAAGCATTATTCATGAATTTCTTCATGTTCTGATGATTATAATGGAAATGATGGGATCAGGGTTGTTAAGGTATGTTCTTAGAAATGTTGTCTGAGTTGTACAAAATGTGACGAGGAAAAGTTTTGCCTTGTCTAAAATGGATCAAGGAAGCTTCATTATCGAGATAGGTTTGTATACAGAATGTCATTCGAGCAGACATAAAGCGACAGACTCATTTCGTCTGCAATGAATATTATTATGAATTGAGGGAGATGGGGTTTATGTGGTTGTTTTTATAGAAAGTTTTCAATTTGAGTTCTGGATTCAGGTTCATTTGTGTTTAAAATTCTATGGAATAAAAGATCTTGGCAATTTAAAAAGGATGCAATTTAATCTGACTACAAATTTAATTGGCTTTTTGCGAATAAATAAGTGACATTTGTCTGATCATGGATTTGCTTGTTTTCAAACAACCACTTGAAGAAAAATGAAGGAAAGTCGAACTATGACAAAAAATCTTCTAGATAAGCACATACGGCAGTCAATTCATAATTCTCATCTCTTCATAATTCTTCTTAAAGAATATTAATTTCAAACAAAAAGTTTCTTATCGAGTCTATTCAACTCACACCAATCTCAAATCGCGAGCATTCCTAACCTCAAAATTATAATTTTTCTTTCGCAACACATTCTGTCTGCTGCGACATGCTGCTTAATGAAAACTTTTTATTATACATAGGCCTGATACAAGAAGAATTAATGCGACACATTTTGTTTGACCCAGATCTAATGTAGGACCGACAAAAGTTCAATAACAACCCTGATAAAAGATGATAAAGCGAAAAAAATTTAATTTGCAATGGAAATAATTTCTCATATATAGATTTTTGTGAATGTCACATATAAGCCAAAAAAAAAGTATGTTAATATTTATGTTGATGAAGGAATGAATGAGGAAAATAATCTCGTGAATTTCTATGGTAAAAAATTTGGATTTTACAATCTGTTCCTTATTCTTTATGAAATATTAAATGAATAATGCGAAAAAAACAACAATTTTTAAACGAGAAAAAGCCTTAACTTTCTTTTCAAAAAAAAAACTCATAATCCTCTTGCCTTTTTCACTTTTTGCAGAACAAGAAGAAATGAGAAATAAAAAAAATGGTATGAAATAAATCAATCCGAGAAAATTTCTTGTGTAAACTGTGTATTGTTTGATTGAAACAAAATTGCTTGCGGACATTAAGTTTAACATGAAATAACATCATGTTTAGAATCGAAAAAAAAGCTAATATTATACAAATTTGTAACATATTGAGCTAAAATAATCTAATTTCGAGCGCATCATATTTTAGGCTAATAAAAAGAAGAGAAAAAAAAATTATAATACACACATAACCTTCATTTATTCATACTTCATAGATCTATAATGATTATTGCTATATAGTGAAAAGATAATAGATAATAGACAGGGAAGATTGATAGAAAATTAAGAGAGAGAGAGAGACAGAGATAGATACATAATTGCTTTCTTAAAATCGAGAAGAAATAATGATGATACAGGCGTCGTAGTACACAATGAAGAGAAGAATTTGAGAAGCAGGTGGGGAAAATTGAGAAATGAAACCCAAAACTTTTGTTTATTTGGAATTTTTTTTCTTGAACGCTTGCTTTTTTGTTTGAACAAAAGGAAAATTTATCGAGTCTGTGAAATGACTGGGACGCATCTTTTATTGGAGGCGTTTTTAATTAAATTTTTGAATGGAACCCGAGAAGCATGTGACTGTGAAAAGTATCTTTAGGAAAGATTCTTGGTTACAGGTCGATAGATGCAGTTATTGAGCGTATAGCTTCATTGATTGAAACTTAGTAAGCTACAGCATTTTTAAATTATAGCCTTACTGCATGAAGCTAGCTTCAAGAACTTGCTTGTTCCTAAAAACGACACTTTATGAGTATTTTGCTAAGCTACATTGACAGTTCTGAATTCTGAGAAGCTATGGAATTTTATCTTATTTTGTGGGTATAGTTTACACCCCCAAAGTATATGTAAATACCTCCTAAATTATTCAATAAAAAAGGATTTAATCATTTTAATATCAAACTCAAACACCCGAAGACAAAGGACCCGACAGTCTGATAAAAAACACAAACATCAACCCACTCTCAATTAAGAATAAAAAGCACTAAAAAATTAAGCGAAATTAAAGGAATTTTAATGAAACAAAAATTGATGAAGTTTTCCGCGAAAAACTCTTGTGATGTTTAAGGTTTTCATTTGAATACACTTTAAGCATTTCGAGAGGCTGTGAATAAGAAGTAGCAAAAAATAATTTATGATATTTTTGAAGGCTGCTCTGAAAAATTCTAAACAGCATGTAACTTTTCATTAATATTTTCTCATTCGCCCTTAACAGAAAATTATTACAATACACAGAAAATGATGCGGCTGCTCTATGAAAATTGTTTTCAAAACGGACAAATGATGCCAGCAACAAGATTTTTATGAGCATCATGTTGGCAAAGCCACAATGAACATAATAATAATGTAGCGAAATGTAAATTATTTTTAAAAAAAATGAATTGGAAAATAACTCGACTGACGTAGATTGAGCTTCCCAATAGCTTATTATTATTCAAAACTTTAGGATAGTTTTTTGGTCTTCTTGTTCATTTCAACAGATCGATTTTAATCTTTTAAACTTAAAGGTTTGGAAGTTATTTCCCAAAGTAGTTCAGAGTTATTGTGAATAACAATAATGTTGATAAAAAATTTGGGAAACCTTAGATTTTACAACATTTGCTTTGTTGGGGTGGAAATATATATTCAGTTTCTCTTTTTGTCAACAAAATAGCCAAACATAAAGATTCTAATCTTCAGTGACATGGAAAAAAAGAAAAAAATTTATAATAAAAATTTTTAAATTTGAAATCTTCGTCTATAAGTTGTTGAAGCTTTATAGGAATGCATGATGCCAATCAGATATGGTGTGATAAATGGATAATACCTCGTATTGATTGATTTTGATTCTCTCATTTGAAACTATCAAATATCAATTTATTTTCCAACTAGCAGAATAAATCAATTTAATCTGTTATAGTGAACTGATTGTAGCTTTTCCTGATGGATTTTTGAGTGAATTGTAGCTATTTTGTGAAATATAAATTTTGAGCATAGTCAATTTTCCAATTAGAGACAGCCCATAGCGAAAAAAAAGAGGTTTGCCTCGTATTTTCCAGCTCTTTTATTGAAATTTTAAAAGCAACATTTTTGTTTCATTCGTGGAAAATTGTTTTTCAATCGAAACTTTTTATTTTAAAAATCTTTTGAATATTTTCCATAACCTAAAGTGGAAAACTTTTAAAACTTCAAACTTCGCTACTTCCTTTCTTGAAAGTAAATTCTTTTCTTGTTGACTTTTTTTCAGCTTTCTCTTTCTATTGCTTTGATGATAAATTCAAATAAAAACCACTAAGTAATTTTAATAGCATTGCGTACCACTTAAAGGAAATAAAGTTGAAAAGATAAAGATTAAGAAAAAAAGGAGGTATAAGCAGTATAGAATAAAGAAGTTAAGAAAGATTTTTTTTTTGATGCACAATTATGTTAATTAATTAACCTTCAACGTGATATAGTCAGAAAAGTAAATGTAAATGAATCAAAAGAATAAAAGATCCATCGTAATACGCGAGCAGGCTATGTAAGTAAGCATGTCTGTGATTAAAAAGAGAATCTTTTATACGAAGAGAGAAAGTAATGAAATAGAAATGAAGGAACGAATGTATTCCGATGAGAAATAATAACATTTCTCTGTGTTTATTTATTCATTTAATTTGCTTTTCTGATTATAGCGCCCTGAGGTTAAGCCAGTTTTCTAAAAATTCAAGCACTTGAGTATTTTTAAGAAATTCTTCCTTTTGTTGAAAAATGAAATGAAAATGAAATGAGGAAGAAAGACGAACAAATATGAATGGAATGAAAATACTTAAGTGAAGGAGGGTATGGTAGGAAAAAAGGGAAGGGACAGAAAAATAAAATAATATGTAGCGTAAAGAAGAGACTTCTTCAACAACTTTCCACATTAAGTTCCACTTACTTGTCGAGCTATTCGATCTTTTACCATTTCCTCTATCATGTCCTCCACCACCACCAGTTGCCCCAGGATGATAGGCATCTGAATCGTCCTCGGTTTGAAAGTCGATGACATTCACGTTATATGTTACATTTGAGGGTGTTCTTTTTCTTTTCACTATAGTTCTATCATCCAAATATAATATTGGATGAATTGTATCACAACACTTTATGCTGCTACTTTGCTCAATTGAAATATCCTGAGCTTGATTTACTTGTTGACCATTCACGACACTGTTACTGTCACCTAAATTAACAGGCTTTAATATACTACTAATACCATCCGACGATGTGAGATTATTATTGTTAGCCTGTAGACTAGTCGCATTAATATTTGAAGCGTCAGCAGCAACGGTTGTATTTTGGTGCTGGATAGCGTCCTTTAATAAATTTTTTGTTAAACTCTCATCTTGATTTATAGCTTTAGGAGAAAAATCATACAATAACTTAAACGTATATAATTTATCGGTATTATTCTTAATGTTCAACAAAACCGTATCGATACTTCGACTATTGTTCAATTTCAATTTTATATCGTTACTTGCTGAATTAACTAATGGTGGCAGTGAGACCGTTTCTTTCTTTTGTAGCTTCTCAGATGTATTCAACATGTCATCTGTCGTCGTCGTCATCGCTTTTGAAATTTCCGAATCAATTTTACTCTCCTCAAAGACTTTCTTTAGCTTATCGACATTAAAAAAATCAGGATTATCGAACTGCTTCTTACATTCAACGTCCGATAATTTCACTTTCTGATTGTGCTGAGCAAAATTATTATCTAAAAGATTTTTGTGATCGAAGCTTTTATTTAAATAATTAAAAATATCACTCTTGTTCACTATTGCTTGATTTGTTCTTTCATTATTTAAATGAAGATTATTTGATTTATCACTAACACCGATTAAAAAGTCCGAATCACTCAATGCATAAATCATATTTTTGGGTTTATTGCCATTGCTATTTGTACCAATAGAAAAGCAATTCATACGACGCAATTTTTCAGAATTATACCGCAATAATGAAAAGAAATCAGAATCGCTTGATGCTAATTTTTTCTTTTTGAAACTTTTTTTGCCTAGTCCATTACAACTACTGCTGCTGCTATTATGATTGTTATTATAACTATTACAATTATTGTTATTTGTTGTGCTACTACCGTTTATAATATTATTGTTGTTGTTGCTATTACTATTATTATGATTTAGGTTTATGTTGTTGAAGCTACAGCCGTTTGCATTATTTACTTGATTGTCTTTGATTATTGACGCCGAAGATATCAAATTCATGTCATTCTCTTTTGTTAACGAATTGTCTAGATTATTCATGTACGAGAAATTATTTACAGAACTTTTACTCTCAGTCGAATTTTGTTGCTTATCCAAATCATCTTTGTTAGCGGATTTCATACTAAATTGATTTTCAAGTGCTTGAGCAACGATGTTAGCATTTATAGGTTCACTACCCGAATAACGCAGCATTTGATTATCGAAGCAATGATAAATTGAGGAAACGCTTTCGGATACATTTTGCGACATTATTTTATCTCGTTCATGTTGCGCCTCTAAATCCCTTAAGTCAATACTGCTCCTTGATAATCTACGTGGCGGAGATGATGGAACTTTTAGAATCGAATATTCTTCGTCATATTCTTGACATAGTAGAATTGCAGGCACCTGTGGACACATTTTTGGCTCATGTTAAACACTGAATCAAATATAAATGTATGAACTGAACTTTTACGCACACATAGTGGCTATAGACATGAATATATGCTTTCAGTTAATAAAATAAATGGAATTTACTTCTTTCCCGAACTACACGACTTATGTCATATTAAAAGAAGGAAATTGTACGACATTATGAATGACATCATTTATGAAAACGTTTGTTCTAAAGTAGAAGATACTAGCTTACTTTTGAGGTAACTCAATTGTAGGATGAAAATTTATCCGTGAAATTACCGTACAAAGAATTCATGAAAGCTCTGAATAGATTAAATATTTATCAAGTTTCAAGGAATAAAATGAGCATCATGCAGATGTTAAATTAAACAGAACAAGAAAATTATTTTGACCATACACAACTCGGGTTTTTCATTTCCATTTTATCCGTTTAACTTCTAAAATATACATGTATACCCATTTAATATTGATTTTTTTTCTGCATGCGTCTAGTGTGAATAATGTCAAAAATTGCGAGAATGAGGAAAAATGTCATACAAACATACCTCCAATTCACTAACTTCGCTATGGCTTTCTTGTTGTGCTTCCTTTATCGTTAAGTTGTTTTCATCACAATCACTGAAACGTGGAGTTTGTAATTTCAATCTGTTGTTGATCGGCTGATAATTGTAGGGTTGATTTTGTAAATGTACACTGTTCAGTAAAATGTTTGAGCTTGTGCGACTTAGTGCTTTACGTTGCCTTACCGCTTCTCTACATAATTAAATAGAGAAAATAGATTCATCAATCATTTACTTCTGTTTCGTATATTTGTACTGTACATATTTATTTGATGCGATAGACTTACTTGAAAATGCGGTAATACATTGTAATCATCACAATTCCTGGGATCCAAAATGATATTGAACTTGACACGACGGCATAAACTTTGTTTACAACAAATATACATTCATTCGGATTTTCGTTTAACCATACTAAATTTTCCTCTGTTGTATACCAACCGAGAAAGATGGGAGTGAATGAGATGAGGGCTGGCAGAAACCAAACATTCGCCAACATAAAGAATACTGTTCTCTTGTTTAACAGTAATGGATATTCTAATGGCCTACAAATCGCAAAATATCTGAAAAATTCAAAAATATTACTAAATTGGATTTTCTGCTGATTTAGGGATTTAAAGATACTTTATTGACATGCAATGTGCTCCATTCTCTCTCTCTATATCTTTCCTTACTTTAACGATAACTTATTAAGAAAAAATTATCCCATTTATTGGCTTTTATTGCAAATTCGCTAAATTTCAATTTGTGTAAAAGTTCTCGACGTCAGCAAAACAGTGCGATAATGTTGATGAAAAAGTTTTTACGTTGACGTAATCTTCACGGATGATGTCGCATGTTATGTGTTTGCTGATAAACATGAATATTCTGGTAATTTGAATACTGTAGTGGTTTCTGCTACATTTATTCTGAAACGCAATATCTATTTATAGCTTTTATAGTAGTTTGCTCAAAAACAACGTTTAATCAGCGCTTTTGTAGGGTTGCGAGCATGTTTGTTTAGTAGTTTCACTTTAGTGAAGAACAAGCATGTTATATCTAATAATTAAATTAAAGTTAAATGTTTTCTTGATGTTTGTTATTTAGATAATGGATTGAGAGGATGAAGTAACTCTTAGCGGGGCTTGCAACTTTAAAGTTGTATTTAATTTTGAAAATTTCTTTTACTGTTAGAATGTCTGAGTTAAATGGATTAATGGTAATCAATAGTCAATTCATAATGTCAAAGCTAAAGCTGATTACTGCTGATTAAATCGAGTGATTGTTCTAAAAATAGGCAAGATCCTTTATAAACATTTGTAATGCAATTTTCTCCGTCATTATCATGTAATATGTAAGTGAGTTGAAGCCATCAAAGGATGAGAAAAGTTTTCATCGTCTTAATAATTTATAGCTTGCATAGTCAAATCGTGTGACATTAATTGAAAACTTTCTACGTCAAACAAACAGAGCGTGTGCTCATTCATGAAATATCATTAATTCAGAAGGGAAATGAAAGATAAATTTAATATATCAAAAATAATTTCACAATCATATCGATTTAGAGGGAAAAAATAAATAAATAAATAAATTGAAACAAGAGGTGTATCCTAGAGAGAGAATTTTTCATTGCATATCATCAGGTTTTATACAGGAATTGACGTTGAACGTCAATCAATACGAAATATTAGGAGCATAAAAAATTGATAAAAAAATATAAATTGAAACGATCAAAAACCTGTCTACTGAAATACAGCATAGATGTAATATGCTTGCTGTTGAAAAGTAAACATCCAGACTATTCCAAAGATCACACAAGAATCGTCCAAACAACCACTTCCCCGATAGTTCAACGGATGCATTGAATGTCATTGCGCATAGAGCAACTATTTCCGAGATAAATTGAAAAGTTTTTTTCCTTGATATCAATATGCATTCAATTAAAAAAGTTCGACATGTGTATAAATACCTAGCATATCAGCCATAGCAAGGGAAACAACAAAATAATTTGTGATGACTCTGTAAAAAAAAATATACAATTTTATTTATTTTTGGCTTCCCTCTTTAACTTTATTTTTGTCTCGATAAATAAAATTGAAAAGGGAAGCAAGTCAAAAATGTTATCTAATGATATTAATTATAATTTCAGCGTGCTATCAGTAAAAGTAAGTAAATGAAAAATAATGGCATGTTACTTATTCGAAATGATAAAGCAAAATGAAATAGATATGAGAGTTTTGGAAAACCTCTACGTGGGAATGAAAAGAATGGACCAATTTAATTTGATACGATGAGGAAATATGATAAGGATTAATTTGGCTATGGGCAGGCTTGTATCAAATTTATCCCATCCTATCATTTGTTTCTTTATCTGAAAATCCAACCTCAAATTATTAATAAGATAATGACTTTAACAAAAGGTAAATTTGGAAAAATGTTTTTCTTTTTGTTAGGAACTTATAGATCTATTAGGTCATTCAGTTGTGACGGGATCCAAAAAAAGTTTTTGGAATCAAGCTTTCTGATTCTTCATAAAACGTTCCTTATAGTTCATCTTATTGGACGTCACTTCCAACCGAATTCTTTGAGCTACTCTACACATTCATAGAAAAATATTATTTGAAGGTAGAGAAGAACTTTCGCATGAAAGGTATCAATCTTCAGGCGTCGAGCTGAAGAAAATTTTTCCACATGAGAAATTATGATTTTTGAACTTTTCTTAATTATTTTATATGTTAAATGTTAGAGCAAGTGGCGTGAGATAGTGTTGAATAGATGAGATAGAAACACAGGCAGGCAGCAAACGAAGAGAAAAGGAAAGAAACCGAAACCCACACATAATTTGTTTGGTAATTTATCAAGAATGAATTGCATTCGCGTATGCGGTATGTTAATGATGAATTTACGTTCTCGAGCTGTGAACAGTGGGAAATCGCACATCCTGTGGATCTTATTTACTGCAGTAGGAAGCTAAAGAGTTTTTATCTTGAATTGAAGTCTTGTTGTTTGTGGGAATAATAAGTCTATAAAGTTCACTTCGAGGGTTTATTAAAATTATGCAAAAAAAAAAATCATTGAAATTTAAATTTTAAATTGATTCATTTTAGCTACGGAACTGACAAAATACTTTCCCATCAAAGGGTTTACAAAATTATCGAAAAATGAATTTTTCATGAGATATATAGAGCTGAATAATAAAGCTCAAGTATTTAGTAGATGTAAATAAATTTACTGAAATACAACAACAAAGTTGTAGGTATTGTGTATGAGCCTTTCGTTCCGTAGCACGTAAATAAAAAGAAAAAGTCATTAAATAATGAATGAAAAAGTTGAGTTATTTATGAAACCAAAGAATTAAAAGTCCTACGCGTTATGTAGACGCGTAAGACGTTTGTTTTTTTAAGTATGTGTATGCTTTACTACGCCCACTGATTAACCTAAAGGAACTGTAAACATTAAAAAGATATCCTTAAATAAACTCCAAAAAGTCAAAGAATTCGATCAAATTTCAGCTTCATTTAATCAATACCCTTCCAAAAATCATGAACCACAAGAAATTCCATCACAATGTAAAGATAAGTTTTTATAGAAAAACAACCTTTTGGTCAATAAAAATTTAAAGGATAAGTTTAATTGTCAATTTAACATTTACATTAAATTTAAATGAGTTAGACCTAAGGTCAATCATTCTGACAAACACAAAATAGAATCAAGAAAACAATGTTACAGACCAAAAGGGAGGTTCAATATTTAAATTAGAATGTAAATTTCACATTAACAGATTGATGGAAATTTTTCTGATTGAATAAAGTTTGATAGACTTAAATCCCAGGGAAATTGTGCTGTTAACTGTAGCCACACCTCATATTTTTTATAGAGGCAATGAAAAAGTTACTATTTAATTGCAGAAATCATGTTTTACTATTCGGAATTTGAACAATAAAACTCTCTTGACATTAATAAGCACTCTTGAGGGTATGTAATACTAATGGTAGGGGGAAGGGGTGAGTCTATAGATTTATCCATTTGATACCCTTCTCTTCCATTATAATGTCTTTTTGAGGGGAAAACAACATGATGGGATATTTACTTTAAACTTTTCCCAATATGTTGCTTTTCCCCTCGTGTTATACAAGTCGTGAGCTCCAAAAAGAGAACGACTCATAATACATATTCATAAAAACAAAAATGAAATTTTTGACTAGACTATCCATTTATGGAGATAAGTAATTTCATAATTAAAACCCCTTGAATAATTAATAAAAAAATTTCAAAAGACTTTGAGTAACTCGTTATTAGATTAATATTATTAATTTTTTCCTTTCCTTTTCTTTTCTTTTCTCACTCGTATAATTTTTCTCGTAGGAGGAAGGAAAATGAAAAAAAGAAAATATTGAATGAGTCAAAAAGGAAGAAAGGATACAGCAATCGAAAAAATATGGTAATGGGAAGAATAACGAATAGTATGAGAAATGAGTTTCTATTCTATAAATTTGTACAAAGGAATAATCGAACGTACCTTAATTTTCTATTCCTCCGCACAGCTAATATAACTAACGCATTTCCTAGGACGGCTCCGATAATAATTGAGCCAAAGATGAAACCCTTTATACATAGAACACTATAGAGGGCTATATCTGGTTCATCACTTAATGTTGTATTATTACTAGAAATATCTATCGTTTGATTGTATGCTGTTGTTGTTGTAAGACTTTCACTAACAATATCATTATAAATGGTAGTAAAGTTCATGTCGTCTGACATATCAGTAGTACTAAGAGTAACATTATCATCTATTTCCGAAGACATTTTCATTTGACTATTTTGCTTACTTATTTATTCAATTAAATAAATAATATCTCTCTTTCTCTCTCTTTGCTCTTTTAGCTTCTTTGTTCTATGTTGTATCATAAATATTCTCTATATATATGCATGTATAGGTGGTATATAATTTTCACTATTATAATAGACCTTAACGATCATTTAATGACAGTATATTTATCATATTTATCTAATACACAACACTGCGATAATATAGACTTACTAAATAGGAAACTTATCACATCATCACAACACACATTTCATGGGTTTAATCGTTTTTAATCCTCTATGACTACTTTTCAGTTGCTGTAACATGCTGGTATCTATTTCAGAAATATAAGCATATAGATGTTGTACATAAGTAAATTGCTTGAATTAAGAGAAAAAGTTTGGTTCACAAAAAAAATATGAAAAGTTACGTTAGATTAGAATGTACAATTAAAGGAACAAGCATATCTATCTTTATGGACCCCGACCAAATCACTCTGCTCGTCAATGACACCACATTTTTTTCATTCTATCTATCTTTTTGTACTGTAAGCTTTCATATTATTATCAGGAAAGAAACTTTCTTTTTTGGTCATTTTTGGAAATTCTCTTTTGTTTGTGTGTAATTAGGTATTCAAATCTTGATCGATTGAAGCTGCGTCATAGTAGAACAATTATTAGGAATGTGTCATGAGCCGTTATTGATCTCTCTTTACATTCTTACTACTCGTTTGCTAGGCTTAGATTTTAAGATGCTTTCGGAACTTGTGTACTGATTTATTGAAGACGTTGTGTTTTCTGTTTTTGTGGAAGTTATGGGCTTGAAGATAATGCATCTATTAGGCAATATCTTTAACTAAAGGCCCTTTCTTGAAGTGTAAGTAATACAATCGAATGTTAAGGTCTGCAGAAGTTTAACAACCAGGATGACTAAATCAAAGATTCTTTTTATAATCAGACATGAGACTTAACTAGTCGAAGTAAACATGACTAGACAAAAATGTCTTGTATCGAAATGAAACCCCCGACAGTCTAGTCCGTCCACAGATAACAATAAATTTTCATACTCGATTCATTTTTTTCATAGAAATTGTTTGAAAAATGAAATCATGTAAAAAGTTAAATATTGCAAGATAAAACTTTAGAAAGCTCTGATTCTGTTAGTCAATGTACATGAAGACATAATAAATGAACAAATATCATGCACACAACAATGAAGCAGAGAAACTGTAAGTTGCTGCTTTTTTTTTCTTGAAACTAATTATCAACCTGCAAAACTAATCACAAACACTATTAAATGGAACTAAAAAGTTAATGAAGAGATAACTAGAGCAATATTGTTGTTAATAAACTTGCAAGGAGGCATCAGAAAAGCCTGGTAGATACAAAACAATTCTACAACTGATTAAGTTTCAGTAAAAGCATAAATTTCAAACTTTCTATGACTTTTTTTTACTTCCTTTCTCTGACCTGTATTTATGCCCGGGTTTGTTGTCGAGGCCCATTTACAATCTAATCCCAATTCACTTTTTTTTACTCAATGAAATATTATTATTGTAATAATTTAAATAAATCCGAATTGTATCCCCATCTCATTATTTAATGAAGATGAATATCGTATTACTCCGTCTACAATATTTATTGTGCACATACTAGATGTGAGACATGGTATTAAGTTAGGATGGAAAAATGAGAAGAAGAAAATTGTTCAAACGAGAGATATTCATTCGGGAAATGGAAAAGCCTTTTAGCTTGAACTCAATTTACAGATATATTCCGTCAAATTTTTGTATAATGACTCGATGTAAACCTTTTTTTCACGCGATTTTCTTTTCTATTGTGTATATTTTGAGAATGGGGTGTTATACTTGTGTGTATCTATAAAATCGATAGTTTGCCCTTCAAGAACTCTTTAAATTTGATAATAATTTTTTTTTCTTCCGCTCGCTCGTTTCGACTATAAAAAAAGGCGATTTGATTCTCACTTTCTAATAAAAATTTTCACCATCCATCTTACACACGGAATTGATTTCACATCTATATATAAAAATTCAAGTTCTCATATACTTTTTTTTTTATTTATTCTTTGATTTAATGACTGCTCATAATCACTTTTTTTATTATAATTTTATTGCTAAATTACTTAATGCTAATATTTTATAGCACAACAGTATAACTTTAAACTTATTTCATTAGAATTTAAATAAAAACTAAGCTTGGAAAACGGAATAAAAATTTTTTTCCTCTCTAACACAGACTTTTCCTGTGTGTGCGACTATATCGATCCTTTTTCGTCGAGAGAAGAAAGTTTTAATATTTTAGTACATGCCTAGGATTCCAGCTGATTTTGTTCGTGCTTTAATATTCCGTGTACTAATAAACGAATGTGAACGATGTACGAAAGAGAAAGAGAGAAAATGTATAGGAAAATATGTAAATACACAACGTGACTTCTTACGATTATTGTGTGGAAAGTCAAAGGGAAAAACAAATTTTCATTTGTTTTGTTGTTGTTGTTGTTCCACATCCACATCCATCTCCTCCGTAATGAATGAAATTCAATTATTCTTTAATTAAATTTAACTTAATTTGAATGCGTAATTAGAACCGAGAATGAGAGAGATTAGCGATCTTTTGTGTTATTTGGTGATACACACATTTTGTGGCCAAACTTGTTTTTGTTTTCAAAACGTGTCGTGTCTAAATTGCGCGAATAAAAAGTCACAAACAAATAAACAAAAAGCTTTTATCTGTAAGCTCACTGATTGTGTCAAAAGTGTTTCCTATAAAGTCAACATTGCACAACGGATTTAATATTTTTTTCATTGCTATAATTCTGAATGTCACATTGATAAAAAAGCTGCAAGCAGCAAGAGTGTAAGCGTGATGATAAAAATATTATAAATTACAATATAATTGTATTTTGAGTGATAAATTTATTGGAACTAATCATATCAGCAACTGATAAGTGAATTTAATGTAAGTTGCACTTTTATTATTGTAAAATAAGGTAGAATTAAGTTTATGCGCCAAAACTTAAAGTTCGCTTCATAGTTGATTACTGTTAGATAATTGGCTTGTAATACAATTTTGAATCGCCTTAATTATGGATATCTACATGAATAAGCAATAAAAATGCAGAATCCTGTTCATTAAAGTTGGTTTTTCGTAATTTTTCAAAACTTTAAAGTTGCAAGCTTAAATGCATTTGTGAAATTTCCTTAATTCATAAGATTTACCCAATCTACCCCACATTAATCGATAGATAATCGATAAAACAAGATTTCCAGCATAAAACTTTCGAGAATTAATCAGCATAACTTTAATAAATTAAACAAATTCTTATCAACGACGCATAATTTCAAACATTTACCGTTAAATTTTTTTATAGCAACTTAAAATTCAATTAATATGTTTCATGACAGAAATCATCGCCCTTGAGCGCTATATCGTAAAATTTTATTTTGCAACAACTACGGAGAAAAAATTTTCGGGGGAAAAAACAAAAGTGTTCATTTAGAATTTAAAATAAGCAAAATTGACTAGCAAAATTATAAATTTTTTTAGTTTTAATAGAAAAATTTTAAAAGTGAAATAATTAAGTCAAGAAAATAAGAAGCGTTGTTGATTATTTGTGTTGGCTCGAAAATTTTTTTTTTTTAATTCAGCCATATTGTATTTTTTTATATGAAAGGCTTGGTTTTTATATAAACATAGACGTACACGAATGTTTAGCTACAAAACATAAAATTCATAAACAATTAAATGATTTTAGAACAATTTATGTTGATTTATTTGAAGTATTGGAAGTAAAAAGAGACAGAAAAGGAGTAAAAATGACAATAAAGACACTAAAGACTACATCGAGCTGTAGTATAAATGTAAAGTCAAATGCAATAAGCAGTGATATGCCCTCTTTTAAGAGAACTGGTGCTGTAAAAAATTTGTTTAACACAACCGTTGATCGGGAGGAGCTACAACAGCAATTAAAGAGCGTAGATAGGTAAGTGAACTTTAATTAATTAATCCCACCAAGTCAGTCAGGTGTATATATCAGTGAAATGGCATCAATGGCTGGAGAGATAGAGCAATGACCTTGCATGCTCAACAATCTTAAGCACTTGATTATGTCAGTTTTAAGTGGATGCTCGTTGGTTATTTCACTGAACTAGGTTCTTGTGCTAGGTGCAACATTAAAGTCTTTGGTACTGAATATGTATCCTCTGCAAGGTATATCTGGTTAAGACTATCTTACTGTTTCTTGCACAATGGAATCGTGAATTTAAAGTAAGCCATATTAGATCTTCAAGATGTTACTAATGTCTTTGTTTTGCACACACCTTGCGTGGTTTAGATTCCACTAAAGACTGTAGGTTCAAAGAGTCAGGTGCAATAGATTCTATAAAAAAAACTGATACTTCAATACTTTGAGTCAAAATTTTAATCCTTTGTCTTTGTTTGTGACACTTATAGAATTGGGATGCGAGAGCTCGGCAAATATAAATGTGAATCAAAAATATTAGAGATAAGACGAGATGATGATCATCAGGCTAGACGATTAAAATATCAACCAGCAAAGGAGACAGACACAAAACGGTGTCACTCGACAAAGAGCACATCACAAAGTACATTACATTCAATGATCTTCAATCGGGACGATTCCTCATCGTCATCATCCTTTAAATCATCATCATTGCCATCAACATCAAAAATGTTATCAGTACAGAAAACAGCAACATCGACAAATCCCGCGCTTCCAAAAGGTCAAAGGACAATAAAAGGTAAAATTTATTTTCATTTTTTGTCGTATGCATTAAGATTGATGAATATTAATGGCCTTACTTCTTTTTTAGATTACTATCAATCAGTTAAACGAAGTCGACAAAATCGTTGATGACATAGAAGTTCTATTTTATGAAGAAAAGAAAGAAAGAAAGAAAAAAAAAATATAAAAAAAAATCGTGATCACCATTGTAGATTACCAAAGCATTTGAAGCTAATGTCGCATATTGAAATAACTGATATTTCATGGTGACATCCCCATCGATTACATTATGCAATAAATTTGAATCTTATTAATTGATCTCATCATAAAAAAAAAATAATAATGATTTTGTGATCTACAATCGTCTTGGACTTGGGTGATTTTTTAATTTGTCTTACAATAACGTACGCATATATATATATAGACTTATATTTAATTATTAAGAAGTTTTAATGCTACATACATACATCATAAACATCACTGCTAACATGAGAAGAAGATCATTTTATGTCTTAAACAATTTTTTAGAGAATTTTTTCCTAGTTTTTGATTTTTTTTTTGGTTCTTTTGTGAGAGAAAAAAAAGGAAGAAAGAATTTAGCAGTGAATCCGTACTGTGTTTTATGATTTGTTTTATGTTCTTGAGAAAAAAAAAATATTAATAATAATAATAATCATTAATGAATGTGTAATTGTCATTAATATTGCCTTTTTGAACAAATGCTTAAATATTTTTTACATGATAATAACAATATAACATTAATATTATTAAACTTCTCTCCTGCATAGATATAATTTTTCCATAAAATAAAAAAAAGATTTACTTATATGTATATGATGATTATGACACTTTAAGTCGCAAGAAAATTTTAGCAATTTTAATTTTCCTTTTTTTTATATATAGACAAACTAAGGTATAAATGAAATTTTACTATAAATGAATGAAATAAAAGTGGAAATTTTTCTATATTATATCAAGCTTCTGTGTCTTACTCACTGTTTTATCCTCTTTTTGAGTAAGTTTTAATAACCGTCCAATTCATAGTTGTGACGCGAGTTCATTTATCATGACACTAATCAAAGTAGGGCACCTATATATCCATTTCTAGCTATTAATGTTGGGTATTGCTCCAATTTAAAAGTTTATACGCAAAAGTGCCGCATTGCTTCTTAATCGCTGATCATTAATTGATCAAATCACTAGCCAAACCCACATTACTCATTTGACTTGAACAATTGATTGGAAACTCTTAAACTCTTCGTAATATTGCTGGACAATCGAAGCCATCAATCTTCTGAAAATCACTTGACATAACTCGATCCCGAACATAATAGCTTAATCTATAAGATCCAGCATATGAGTTTTTTTTCTTCTTTTTTATTCACAATATTTCAGCACATAAACTGATTGTTTATATATTTTTGAAGGAAATTTCTATTGACAAAGAGAACTAAATGAAATAAATTAACGAATGGGATTCCATCTCATTAGGATTTCACCGAATTTCTTTTTGTCTGGATCTGGAAAATCTTCTGGGTGCAATTCTAAAATTGAAATTATTGATAATTATTCAGTATAAAGTATACAAAACACATCCATTTAATTAACTTACCAACATAATGGCGTAATACAGCATCTCGTTCAGCATAATGTTCATCTCGCTTTTTATTGACCCAACATCCAAAGAATACACCGGCTGTTCCAACTGCTACATGTCTCTGAATGCCTTAAAAATGATTTTTAAACTTACATAATTATTCTGTATGTTTACAGTCAATTGAATTTGTTCCTTACCTGACATTAGTGGTCTTCGCATAATAAAATTGGAAAATGCGATACTAGCAAAGCCGGCAACGCCCAATAAAATTGGATTGTACAAGTCATTACTAAGCGGCTTCTGGATCTCATAATCCTTATTTAATAAATCAAGCGCGTATCCCATGATTCCTTAATTTTCCTAAACTCAATTTCCTCAAAAAAAGAAAATCCTATGCCGATAGAAAAAATGTTGATGTTCCCCTATGCTTTTGAATTTTCGATAACTGTTATGTTTTTCACTTTTCAAATTATCTATCCTCACGTTGATTTCAATATTTATTAAGTTTTATTTTTGTTTTATTAACTTAATTAAACGAAAATGATGAAAAATGGAACAAGAATCTAAGCTTTTAATGAAAATTAAGAATATCACAAATGTAAAACTATAACGGCTTGAAGAAATTTGAATTTTTTGTTGTTTATTTTTCGAACAAAGAGTTCTCTTCAAAAAAAAGAATATTAAATGTATAGAGTGATAAGAAAAGTGTATTTTTACTTAATTAAAGTGATGCAGTATGATAATAAATAGTTGTATATAATTAATAAGTTGATGATCATATTTACTACACTTCCGTAATGACGAATTTGTTAGATTCTTCCTAGTTTTACGTGATTTTAATATTTGTCAAAAGTGTTTTTCAACATAAATCAATTTATATCCTAAGAAAGCTCTAAACTTCAGTCAGTCACATAAATACAAAAGGAACTGATTTAAAATCCCCAAAAAAGATTTTTTTTTGTCTTTATCGGGGAATAAAAATGTAAAAATACAAAAGATAAAGTTCGAGTGAGACAAGAGTGAGTGCAATAATTATAATTAATAAGATGAAGATTCCAGCAAGCAACATAACAGAAATCACATAAGATAAGAGGGAAAATTATGTCATTAGGATATAAAAAGTATGAGAAATTAAGTGAAAAATGTGAAATACGTCATGCTAGTATATCAAAGAATGAATCTACTGTATATTATATTGATCCATCCTGTACAAATAATGAAAAAGATGATGCCATAAAAATGATTGACAATTTAAAGAAGAGAAAGAAGCGCTTAGTGATATTTCTGATTATAGTAATCCTATCATTATTATCCATTATATTATTTGGAACTTTATGTAGTGATGATGTTTGTGCACTGTCTGTGCTCAATAGGAAAAAGTTATTTTCCGAGCATCATTTAAATAATAATATTAATCAGCATCATCATGAGAACAGCAACAACAATATTTCGAGTAGTAGCCTTAACAATAAAAACAGTCATCTCTTATTGAGTTATGATGATGTCCTCAATGATGATTTTCAAAATAAATTTGATATTAATTCAAACGATGTTATGGTAATTTTATGCAATGCTATATCCAATTCTGTTCTGTTTCTATAACAATCCATTCTCTTTGCTTCTTTTCATCATAGGTATTTCTGCACATACAAAAAGTAATAATTCATATTCTTATTTTTTATAATATAAACACATGTATGATCATGAATACGAAATGTATCTTTATTCTCTTTCTCTTTTTTTATCCATCCATTCATTCATTCATATTCTAAAGACCGGAGGCACAAGCTTTGGACGGCATTTAGTAAGAGACTTAGATTTGAAGGTGAGTTATGCGCATCTTCCCATGTTATATATTGATGAATTGTCGATGAAAGGAAAAGTTCTTTTTTTTTTCAATTTTCCCCCATTCATTTTTCGTTTATTAATGTAAACTATCCGTACGCTTATGATGTCTCATAAACAATTGTGGATTTAAAACATATATTTGAATATTAGGATTTGGGGGGTGTTTCGTAGTCTTAGACATCATAAGCGAACGACTCTTATCCAAACAACGACCCCAAAACAAACAAACCAATTATTTACATACTTTTAGAGAAAATGTACATGTCAAAGAAAGAAGAAACGATGCTATTGCTTCAGACCAAATAGAAATGAAAATTGGCTATTTAGTCGATACTCGACAGGCTGGAAGTGTGGTTTACATGCAGACTGGACTGAACTTACAGGTAGTTATTATGCAAGTGCTATTGGCACACTCTTTTAACACGGGATGTAAACGATGTAGGAAGAAACTTCCGCCTACAAATAGTTATAATAATGTATTTCGTTATTGCATGTTTCAATTTTTTTTATTTCACAGGTTGTGTAGACCAAGAGCTTGATAAGAATGAGGGAGAAACAACCAAAAGGAGATATTTTTACATCACATTATTAAGATCACCCATTTCACGATACCTTTCCGAATTTAGGTATGTTTATTGCTGCCATAAAATAAAATTGATGCAGTCTTGGCCGAAAAAATTGTTGCCGAAAATTTTAACGAATTTTCTGAATTCAAATTTTATGTTTAAAATGAAGATTTTACAGAGTGAAAGATTCAAATTTTTTTCGTCCGTTAATTTATAAAATTGTAATTTTGGCTGAGCCTGTATTGATTTTTACATGCTCGTCAATATTCTAGCGCTCCATTTCGATTCTTATTACTTATAATCATAATAATGATACTTATATGAAATTTAAATTTATTCAAAGACATGTTCAAAGAGGTGCAACATGGAAAAATTCAAGGCACTTTTGTCTTGGGCGTCAAGCAACTCCAGAGGAACTTCCGCCGTGTTACACAGGTATTTCTTACTACTTGTACTTTAATATTATATTCATTATCATGTACGAATGGTACTTTTATTCAAATTTATGCTAATTCTCGGTTCTTATTTTCGATATACATGCTGAACATTTTTTTGTTGAGCCATTGAGTCTTCTTATTTCGTCCGCATGTCTATTTGCATTCAAATTTTTGATATTTGCTTGTGATAGCTTCAATTTTCGATAATGGAACTGATGCTTAGCATAATTTATCCATAACATGCACAATAATTGATTGATTTCTGTTCGAGTCTTTGAATGCCATTATTTGATGTATTTTTAACTTATTACAGGAGACGATTGGATGGACGTAGCTCTTGATGATTTTGCAGACTGTCAGAGTAATTTGGGTAAATGCAAAGCATATACCGACAAAGTTTTTGTGTGAAACGAATAAATTTAAATGTCATTACAGCTGCAAATCGACAGACGAGAATGCTCACTGATTTAGCATTAGTTAACTGCTATAATAAGACTGGAATGTCTCAAAAAGAAAGAGATAGAATTATGTTATCAAGTGCAAAGAGGAATTTAGCAGGTATAAAGATATTTTAATAAATTAATCAATTTTACATAATTTTCCTTGTTGCACACAGCCATGTCGTTTTTTGGATTAACTGAATATCAAAAGATATCGCAATACATTTTTGAGGAAACATTTAATCTCAGGTTTGCAATTCCCTTCGAACAACATAATTCGACGCTATCAATGCAAACGTACGATACCCTTACTGATGCTCAAAAGAAGAAGATTAAAGATATAAATGCTCTTGACATCGAACTTTATGATTTTGCTAAAGAATTAATGTTTCAAAGGTAATTAAAATTTTTAACGGTTTTAAAGAATTCAAATTTGAACGACTTTTGACAATTCAAATTTAATCGTTCAGTAGTTTGAATTTCATTTCAATTCAGTTCACTTTTAAATTATATTAAACTGTTAATATGTCATAATTTATTCATAGTATGATTAATTAACATTATCAATCATGTTTTTAAATGAAATGACTTATTTTCTACGTGATTAATATTTATGACTTAATCTCTTGCCCCACATTAATTATTTGCTCTCTAATTTTTTTCCACAGATTTGCAAGACTCAAAGCCAAAGATAACGATTTTGAATTTCATTTTTCTAATTTAGGCAGCATTAGAGATAAGGAATCATTCGATTGGAATACTAATATAGATAATTTAAACTAATGTTTTTTGACGAAACATTAAATGGTGCAGACACGTCGAAAAGAGTTGTATTTCATATTTTTTTAAACCATTGACTAAAAACCACTCAAACGAGCTTAAGTTTAGAAAGAGTTGATAATATTAGGTTTGATTTCACTTAGTTTTATCCTGTGTAGAGGTAAAAAGTAGCCAAAATTTGTGTTAGAGCAGTTTAATAATAAGATATAAGTTATAAGTTTGATTGCTGAGCATAATACTTCAATTTACTTCTTTCTATGACGTATTAATGGCCTACAGTGCAGATATATTCACTGGTTGAATAATTAAATAATTTTTTATACAATACAAATAACCATTTATTATAACTGACAAAATAAAATCAAATTTAATAGCTTTCGTTAAAAAATTCAAAATTGAAATAACCGTTAAAAGTTCAAAAATACAAAGTCCGTTAAAAATCTCAAATTTCAAATACTTTGGCCAAAATACGTATCAAGTTATCCGCATGCGGATGCTTTCATTAATATTTTAGTCAAAAATGCAATTGAACATTAAAATAAGCTTTATTAATTTTACAAAGGAACAAATCAAATAAGTCAAAAAATACGGTAAAAGTTAAGGGAATTTGATTTGCATTTATTATTATTTCTGTTCATCATTTCATTATTCCTCGACACTGAAATGTCTGTACCATAAATTCACAAAGATAATAAGAAGGAAGAATAATAAAAATAAGTAAATAGTTCAAAATAAATTGTTATTGATCTCAATAATTTCTTTCCAGACTTACACATCTGTACACACACTGATCAATTTAAACGTGTATAAACTGCGATTTATTATTTAATGAAAATTACATAATACACTTTACACTCAGTGCAAATGATTCTATTGATCATAATCAATGAACACAGTATCAAACATGTTTCTTTTCAGTGTACGGTCGCCTGCTGTACATAGTGAAAGTAACTAAAATGCCATTTTTGTACCACTTTTTCTCAATTTCAATATATATGGGGTAGCTGGCAAGTTACGTGTATCCAAAATTTCGAAAAGTTAATTTTTTGACAGTTATTTTTCAAACAAATTTTACATGATTTTCAAATATTTTTCGACCGTTAATTTTCAAATATTTTCTGAACGTTAATTTTCAAATATTTTTCGAACCCCCCTGAATGTAATTTTCGGATGACTCCCCAAAAACCAAAAAAACACTTCTGCACGTTTACTGTGAAATAATCGGCATTATATTACATATTATGTTGTATTCAATTTAATTATTGATGGTGGAAATGGCAATTTATGAGAGATATGTGCTGAAGTTGCAGCAATACATAGGCTTACAATTCAGCCTCCCACCTCTTCGTACCAATTTTTTTAACCTCTGTCTTACTTTTGGATCAGTTCAAGCTGAATATTCAAGTAATCAAGACATTTTAGTGGACTTACAAAAATGGGTTCCTTCTCAAACGTTCTAGTTTTCGGTTTAATTGTGACTGTAGTTTTGGCTATAAAGATAGTTAAGGAAGAAGAACAAGACTTCTCAAAGATTCCAGGACAACCTTGGCAAGACTATCCCATTTATCATGAAGTTCCAGAAACTAGCTTCGATTGCCACAACGTCCCTTTCCACCCAGGCATGTATGCGAATGTAGAAACTGGTTGTCAGGTAAGTTTATCTCATACTTGCTGTTTTAAGAATTTTGTAATACATTTTATGCAATATTTTAAAAGGCATATCATGTTTGTCACGATGGTAGAGAGGGCCATCAAGGTTCAAAGTTCTTGTGTACGAACGGCACGGTTTTCAATCAAAAAATCTTTGCTTGTGATTGGTGGTACAATGTCGATTGTAGTGAGGCTATTAATTACTATAAATTGAATCTTGATCCTGAGCTTAATCCATACACTGAACAACAAGTGAGAGCAGCCAAGAAGGAAGGCTTAATCTACCACTAAGCAGGATTATTGAGACGCATTTTGGGTTTTGATTGAATCATTGAAAAAAACTTTTTTTAACTGTTTTGTAAGATTTGAAATTTTAGCATAGCCTTTGAATTTTCACTTAACGGTTTTATGACAGAATGTGTAGAACATCCAGCAGAGCTAGTTGCCGAAAGTGCGTCGTTGGTTGTGGATTATGATTTACTTTAATTTTTTTGTAGTTTCATTGTTTTATAGAAATAAAGTTGAATTTAATTTTTTATGTTTTTGCATACATTCAAAATTGATGTTTTATGATTTTTTTTTTATAAAAAAACCAAATTTAGTCGAATTGCTGCCAATAACCATTCATTGATTGATTCAATTGCTCAATCGAATAACATACATTTCATGCTTGAGAGATTTCGCACAATCGTCAAATGAACCTCGCAAATTTTGATTAAATAACATATTATAAACAATATTTATGAGCAAAATTTCTCAAAAATTTAACTTAAGCTCTACAAGCCTTTTCTTGCGATGTAATTGAAAGATTATTATCAATTTGAGACGCCTTTTCTGAGAAAATTTCACTTGAATCTTATCTGTTCAGTAAGTTTAAAAGTTCATTTCAGTTCAGTTCAAAAATTTGAATTTTTGAGAACCGTTAAATTTTGAATTTTTAAAAAACGTTCAATTTCCAACAAAAATATTTTTTGTTCATCAAAACTAAAGGTAAGGATCATAATATTAATAATGAATACGAGTTCAACAGTACAGAATAAAAGATGATATCACAGAACAGCATGTTAAAAAAAATCGCGCTATATTCATCTTCATCATCATCATAAAAATATGCTGTTATGTGCTGTTTCTTCACTTCCTAGATTGTCATGTGATGATTGACTCACATATCGATATTACGTGCCTACAACATTCACCGTATAAATCATACGCATATTCGCGAAAAGCATTAATCGAGTTCATTATAACGCTAAAACGTGTACGTAAAGCAGCGTCCTTGACAATGAACTATGTGTAACAAGTTGCAGGAACTTTAAAGAGAAAAGCAGCAAACATAGCGAACGGAGCTATTCTAAAGACCTTGTCTGTTTTCATTAACGGCGAACGGTCGCAATATGTATAAATAAAAGTAGGAAGTGAATGAAGAAAATTGCAAACATTGAGTGTGTGTCGGTCATTGCATCATCTATGTCTATTCCAAGAAGCTATTATGGAGCTTTAATGGCTATTTTGGTAGATGCTGTCTTTTGATTGGCTGGTTCATTGGAAGATGTTGAAATGATCAAAAACCGGTAAAATTTAAAATTTTATAAGTCATGAAATTTAAATTTTTGAAAACCGTTAAATTTTAATGAAAAGTCTTATGATTTTTATGCTTCTACCACATCTTAAGATCATTGCCTACTTTATGGACATAAATAATGATTTTATTTTCATACACATCTGGCACAGCATCTCTTCTCTCACATTTTTAATGTCACGTTCATGAACTTGAATGCTTAATGCTTGCTGTTAAAATAAAACAATCGAAAAAAATCTAATTAAAGAGACTATTACAGTTAAATTAAGTAATTATAGTGACATTATGAATCCTTCAGCGTATTGTTTCATACATCATAAGTGTTTACGATCACATGAAAGCATTAAAAACCTTGCTAATTTCATGTAGTAGTCAGTAAGACCCTGTTTTAGACTCTCTCGTACGCTCGTACGTACATCCAGATTATCATATGTATGTTCAATCGATATAAAAGGTACAGATTTTCAACGGTAACATTATAGTTTGTTTATACTCTCACAAGAGTCTAGAAGCGTGCCTGTTTTGTTCTTGTCTAATAGTTTAATTTATTTATTTTCTACTTAAAGTGAGTTTTAAATTTTTTATTTCGATGTAGCCTAGATTTTGTGACTTAAAGGATTTTTAACAAAATGAGTACCAAATAGAACTTTGAGTTAATTCGTGACTTTTTTTTGAGTTCCCTTCATAATGCCATAGTTTATTCAATTTTTGTTGATGACTTTCCACTGATTTGTGACCAGTTACTGTTGTTGAAACACAAATTTTGAGGTTTTCAATATAATCCTTTGACAAACCAACCGAAAGACCATAACACTTGATCTCAGCTTGCACTAATTAATCCAAACAACATTTTTAATAGTGCTATTAATTTAATATATTTTAGAATGTTGAGAATAATCGCATTGTTGTTCGCATTCCTATGCTGTGCCTGTTCACATGTCATCGTCCAAGAAATTGTAAGTTGATACATATTTTAAGTGTGTCTCTAAATGTCACATACTCAAATTCTGTTATTTCATTAGCCAACGAGTCAACTCGCTCATCCATCAGTAATCAATACGCAATATTTTGAGCATCAATTTCCAGCAGAGCTAGTCAAGTCAGCAAAATTCTATAGCAATCCAAAAACTGCTTCTCGTTTAGCTCAAGAAAGTTGGTTCACTGATAAGGAAAGTCCAGTTTTTGACAGAGAAGCTGAGAAGATTGAAAGACACGAAATCTCAAAAATCTTTGTCAATGCCGGTTTACACAGAAGAAGAAGACAAGCCTGAAGCTATTAAAAAAATATTTGAGATAACTTCCTAATAAGTGTGATAATGTTTGTTTGTGACTGAATAAGAAGAAATATGAAATAATAAAATAAAAATGTTTATGATTATTTAATGAACATGGCTTTTGCATTCGCAGTCATTGAACTTGACACTGAAAATGATTTTGCGGAACTAAACATCGCACAGGTATTTCTTTTTTCTTGATAATTTTATTATGTTGCTGCTGCTGTTAATAAAAATTTCATGTTTAGCATAGAATTTATTATAAATATTATTAATGATTAATGTTGCGTATGAATCACTATATGTATATCCAATATCAATAGCATATCTAAGCGAATTATAAAATAGGTATGAAAAGCATTCACTTGGTGCTATAATCGACAATATTTCCGACATTAAGATAAACGCGTGCATTCAAAGCGTGACGCTGTTGCGAATCTTTCTTCTCGGCTGTTGTTGAAGGTACAGTGCTGTAGGTGTAATGCATCGTAAATCCTACTATGACCTCATCGTTTACTTTCAAGTCATTGGGTGTAATGCTCAATTCTATTGCGATTTTGTTCGCCTTTCTCCAAATGACAAATCTGTGAAATAAATAGATTAATTATTTTCTCGTTAGACATTGATGATCATGTGTTGACTGCTGTTGTTAGACTTTACAGTTAACAATTTTTCATTGAGATTCTAACGGAATTGTAATATTTGAAAGCGTTGTAAAATTTTCTTGGAAGGTCATTAAGAACATTTTGAATATTTTTTCACCGTTAAATTTTTAAAATATTTTGGACTGTTACAAATTAAAGGTTGTCTTACTTGGGATCCTTCTTGTCAGTCTGGATTTCGTCATCGAATTCGGCTGAATCATCCCTTTGATTAATAACAAAAGAACTATCAGGAAGCTCAAGTTTAGCTGTTGGCTTGCAGGAAACAATTCGTGGATCTTCGATTAATGACGGGCGCATCAAAGAAGATTTTGAAGATACTGTCAAGCTCTATTCAAATAAATTATAAATTCATATATTAAATTATTTAAAATCAATTAGCAATTAAGAAGCATCAACCTACCTCAAAATTCTTTTTCATCTCATCAATCATCATCACTTCTTCATCGTCTGTCGGTAATTCCATTATCGTTATTGTCATATCATTCATAGTTGGATTGGTCAATTTTAATGTAATAAATGCACTTTTGTTTGGCATTAATGGATAGCATTTAATAATGCGTACTTCTGGTACGTGACTGCTAGCAAATTGTTGAATGCGATACTTAATAGATGTTGGATTATATTCAGGCTTTATGACATTATGTTCACAATGACGACAGCGAATAGAGCGCTTAATTGAGAGATTCTTATGTTGTGGATATAAGTGCTTCACGCTTTCAGGCTGATTGGCTGGCTGTGTGAAGCGCTGCTCGATTGTCGTAACTGATCAATCAAATATTTTAATTAAGAACAAAGTAAATTAGTGGATTAAGATATTATGACTTACTATTTTTGAGATTGATTGGTTTAGTAAAAATATCTTCCGACAATTCTTCTACTTCTTCAGTCATTGAAGGCAAAATACTAGCTGGTTTATTCTTAGGCTTGCTTACCGTCTTGTCAAAGCCCATTTGGCGTCTAATAGCTGACACATTCAATCCAGTACGATCCTATATAAAGAAGATTAATTTAATAAAACTTTAACTCCCTTGCTGCAATTCTTTCAACTTACAGTCATGCTCTGGAATTTCGACTTATTAGTTGTCTTTCTACGCTTCTCATCTTGCTTGACCTGCTTATCATGTAGAACTAGTGCTTGATAATAGTTTAGAATCGTATTGAAGCGATTTGCATGCATATATTCCTGTTCAGGCCAACAAAAGTTTTGCGAAGCTTGATCAGAAATTCCAACATCTCGTGATGAATAGCGACATGCAAGACAAGCTAAATAGTACATTTTCTTTGCAACCATTTTACCGCTACTTGCTTCCGATGTTGTAGTAGAGCTTTCTTCTCCTTCTTGCTTCTCTTTTACAGTCATTGGAACTTGAATTGTTGTTGCTCTTGCTGACAAAACAGAAAAACTACATGATGGACAGTCAAAACAGCTATTGCACTTGTTCTTTCGCAATTTCGCTTCACTAGATGGAATATTCTCTAAGCAGTTCCGACAGAAATGCGAATCAACCTGTTAAATAGCAAGTTTTTGCAAAATTTTATTGCTTATGATTCATCATTTTCTATAATTTGCAGTTTCTCACCTCATGATGACAGCAAAAAGAGCACCTTAGATTTAGACAATGTCTACAGAAGTAGAGGTTAGTTAAAGGCTTCAAAAGCCCACACTGGCACACGTAATTAACGTAATTTTGGGATATTAAGAAATCCATCCAACTTTATTTACTTCGACATTCATCGAAAGTCTCATCGAATTCGATGAAATGAAGTTTTTGAATTTTAACCGATGTTTTTTGTAAAACACTTTTTAACATTAAATAAGGTCTTATTAATTGAAATAACTCCTATTAGTGTCACTTTTTTCATGATATTAATTCTTAGTTCTCGAGTGTCTCCATTCAAGTAAGGGAATAACGTTTATTTTATTTTTGAACTAAGCAGCAAACCATTATTCGAACTAGTGTATCGGGTAGAAACCCAATGCGGATTATATTCACACCGTACTATCATAAGTCTTATGGATAGACCAAGATTTGCCCATCATAAGTATGAAGGTATGAAGCTTGATAAGTCAACTAAGCTTCGCTCAGCAAAAGTTTGAAGTTATAAAGCTAGAGTGTAAGCTGAGCTACGCTCAGCATAAGTTTGAAGATATAAAGCTAGAGAGGCAGGTGAGCTTCGCTCAGCATAAGTTTGAAGTTATAAAGCTATCGCGTAAGCTGAGCTTCGCTCAGCATAAGTTTGAAGATATAAAGCTAGAGTGTCAGCTGAGCTACGCTCAGCATTAGTTTGAAGATATGAAGCTAGAGAAGCAGCTGAGCTACGCTCAGCATAAGTTTGAAGGTATAAAGCTTGACGAATATGCCAAATATTCTTTAAAAGTTTTTTAAAAAAAATTTCCATCCAAAGTTGAATTTTATGAAAATCACAGTCAACTTTTGTTTTAAAAAATTCGTAAGAAAGGAAAGTTTTTTGCCATTTCTGAAGCAACGGCTGTTCCTACCTTGTCTCTACGATGTCTCGTTATTGAGATTTCTTGCTGATTAACTTGCTTGCTTGTTTGCTTACAGAAAGCGTATTTTGCGATTTTCTCAGCAATGCCATAACCAATTTGAAATCTGTTTTTTGAAAATGATGAAAACCAATAGATTCACACGTGAAAACGGTGTGAATATAAAAAATTCAAAATAAATGCAAGCGTTAAATTTTATTTCATCGAAATTAGTGCGTAAGTATAAAAAAGTTAATTAACATGGGTACGTAAATGATTGGTGTGCAAAATAGATGTATGAATAAAGAGATTACTCATTACTAATAGCTTTATCAGCAGTTCCTTTCCATTCTTCTTTAAGCTTCACTTGAAGTCCTAAATCTCTAGCAGCATATCTTAAATCTTGATCTAATGATGGATGATTAACTGCTGCTGTTTTCAATATATCTTCAATTCCAAGACTTATCCAACCTTCACATTGTTCACGAGATCGGGAAACCATGTTACGAATTGCCCAAGCAGCATTTCGTTGAACGACTTGACTTTTTGCATGAATTTTCATCGCTTCCAAAATAGTTTCAGCAATTCCAGATTCGAAAAATGCAGTCGAATTGTCTTTAGAACGAAGAGATAAGGTTGTTATACATGCTAAGGCATTTTTTGCAAGTACTTCATCTGCTTTGTGTCGATTAAACGAACTTTCAATTATAGAAGCAGCACCACTTTTGATTATATCCACTTTTACTTTATCATTACCACCCAGAGCCTTAAGAAGCTTCATAGATTCTCGTATGACTTTTAAAGAGTCGTGAAATGTTACCATTGCATCCATAATTAATACTATTCCATTTGCCTCGGCAACAACTTGACAAAATTCATTTCGGACACAAAGTGCTGCAATTGTAAGCATCAATTCAGCTAGCACGTCTGGATTTTCTTTAAATTCCGTTAATAATAGAGTCAGATCTGACAAGCATTCATGTGCAATTAAACGTGCATGCTCATGAGCTTTACCAAACTCTACACGAATATCATCATCGAGAATTAAATAACGAAGGCATGTGCAGACATTACGGACAATTTCAATTTCCTTCCTCCCCAAAAGTAAAGGCTTCAAGTGAGTTATAAGCAACTCTTCATTAACAATCATCTGACGATTCAGCTCATGCAATAAACATGCTTTTTGGATCCATTTTAAAATATCACATACTATATGCTCATTCTTTTCCGTATCTAATATCTTATTGATCGTCCTAAGTGACTTTTCATTAAAGATGTCTGGATTTTTGTTCGTAATTGCGTGGGCGCATAATATAGTCTTGTGGAGAATCTAGAGAAGAAATATAAAAGAAGTTATAAGTCAATGAACTCGACACAATTGTAGTTCCTTATTACCGAGTCTTTAGCATGATTAGTTTCATTCTTCTTGACTTCATCTTCCATGATTTTTAATAAATACTCCTGAGTACAACTTTTTGATGCCAAAACTCTATGGGGTACTGACTTGTTCAATTCCTTAATTAGAGCTTCAAGAGTTGCATTCAATTGAGTATCATCCAATCTTTTTGTGCTTTCAACATGATTCTTAACGCCTTCAATTGCTTCATTCAAAATGGTATTTCCTGTTTCTTCATTTATGTCTAAATCTTTAATGATATTTGCCAAATTGATTCCCTGTGCCTCAAACTGACTAATTGTTTCTTCACGAGCTTCATCTAAAGACATAGAAAACTCGACAATGTTTTCCTTAATAATTGCATCGAAAGTTTCTTGCTGGATTATTTTAGCCATTATATCTGCAACTAAGAATAAGAAGGCAAATGGATTTTTAACAAAGAATGATTTGCAAAATTGATGTAATTTACATGAAATGTTCAGGAAGTTTAACTCAGTAGCGATGAAATTTCTTTGTTAAGTTAACAATTGTGAAGTACTTCCACTTACTCAATGAACACTTTCTAATATTTTTATTTCGAATATTTAAAATGAAAATGAGGCGATTCTACAAATGGATGAAGCTATAAAATGTTTATTCCTTTTAACAGACGTCTGCTAAAGTCAATGCATTGAGCAGTTCTGAAGATTTAAGAAGTCAACAGTCATTTTATATTCAAATTTCTGCAAAGGGTACTGACTTTACTGACATTACTGACTTGACAACGTATGCATCACTGACTTAAAGCATCTACGGATCTGCCCAATTCCTACCAAATTTTATGAGTCATAACTGTATTGGTGAGGAAGAAAGAGTAAATACATGCACAGTAAAACATAAACAAAAGTAGTAAATTAATTATATCCAGTAAAATACAAACATGTCACAAACAAAAGATGCATTGCTGCGAAGCTACAATAACAGACTGAAGGATGATGTCAAAAGCATGCTGGAAAACTTTGAGGGTAAGCAGAAAATTGAATTTCAACAAATCCGGCAATAAAAATGATTTTAAACATCCAGAAATCATCAGAATGGCTAAAGGAGAGAATGAGAATGGACAGCTAGCAAAATTAACACAAAGTGAACAAGATGGATACGAAATGCAAGTCAGAGCAGCAAATATAGTTCGAGCTGGAGAAAGTTTATTGAAGCTACTGTCTGATATTAAGCAGTTCCTAGTATTAAATGACTTCCACAGCGTGAACGATGCTATATCCAATAGTTCAGCTATTTACAGAAACACACAGCTCGATAGAGACTCAAAGTTAATGAATTTAAGGGACGAATTAGCAGCTGATTTGTATGATCTAGAACTTGAATATTATACTGGAAATTTTACAGAAGGAAGCAGTAAAAACAATTAAAGATCCAGCAACAGTGTCTCATAATAAATTAAAGTTTAATATTGATGAATATGATTAGAAGTTTATTTTATTCAAATTTTTCAGATAATTAATGACATTTTAATCGTAATAAAAAATTTATTTTCTTAAGGTTTATAGTTTGGATTCTTCTGGAGAATGACAAAGCCTTCCATTACAGGCGTAACGGCTGTATATTCTTCAGTTGCAAGTTCAGCACGCTCTCCCATTGCTAATAATACAGGCGTTGTGTGTGTCTGAAAGCCTGTAATTGTTTTAGGTTTTCCAGCCTGTCCAACGACATCTACAGCCACACCAACACGTACTGGAACTGTTAACGGAGTGAGGTTTTCATCGAAAGTTACGAGCATTCTTGGTTGCATTGCTGTTGCTAATGTGTAGAGGAGGTAATGGGATTTGGATAAAATTACTGAAATGAGAAATCAATATTAATAACAGGACAAATTGCAAAATAACTTGAGTTCCTTACTGTTCTTGACATCTAAGAATGCAACAAGCGTTGCCATTAATCCAGCTAAAGCGACGGGGCTCATTAATTGACGATCACTATGATAAGGTGAGAGTGTCAAAGTTCCCTTTCCTAAATGTGTCAAGCCTTGAGCAATGCGGACCATAAAGAGATTATTTGGATCCTTTGCATGATATTGTGCAAGTTGACGTAGCATAGAAGCAAGTCTCGCATTATTTGTTCCTGCTCCAACTAATCCCATTGCGAAAATGGCATTATGTGCTACTTCAGCATCACTGTCGTGTGAGAATTTACTCAATGTATCGAGAATATTAAGTTTTGGATTTGAGACGGAAATGAGACCTAAAGCGAGAGGAACTGCACGACGAATTGTTGGTTCACAATAACGTAACTGAAAAATTTGAAGAAAAAAGTCATTCATTAGTTCAAAGTTCGTTTCAGTTCAGTTCAAAAATTTGAATTCTAAAATACTGTTGAAAATTTAAATTTCAATAATACGTTAAAACTTACCAAGTTTCCAAATGATCGATATGCCATTTCAGCACCAATATCTTCACCGAGGGCAATCAAGGCAATTCCTAAGACAGCAACAGATTGACATTGTGACAAGTCCTTTTCTCTTTCCTCCTTTTGTTGTGCTTCATTCGTGTCCGTCTTTTTCTTATCACTCGATTCTGGTGTATAAGGTTCATAATGATCACTACAAATATGAAGCAAGTGTTGAATTTTCAAGACATTTCCTGTTCCAGCATAAGCACAAATCTCAACCATTGTCGTAGCAGTTGATTTGTGTGGTTCATCAATAACTCCTAAAGCAGCAATAACAGCTTCAGCTGCTTCCTGACGACCTAAATAGACAAGACCAAGTCCAAGAAACAAAAACTTTGAGAATGTATCACGGAAATCTGTTTCAGTACGTTCCATAATAATTTGTGTTAATGTTTCAGTCACTTCTGCATTACATGATCCAACAGCAATCATTCCAAGTGCCAAAGCAGCAATTCCCAATACTTCATTTGTCGATCCACTCCTTTTTTCGGAACTAAAGACTGGTGAAATTAATTGAATGACATCAGCACGATTTGATCCAGCATAAGCGAGTCCAAGACCAAGAATTGATCCTATTCTCATAGTGCTATTAGTATGGACGACATAATCAGATAATAAAGCCAATGCTGGATCAACTTCATTTCTAACACCACAATTAACAATTCCACAAGCAAGAAGTGCTCCAGCCTTAATATGATCCTCGGATGAATAAAGATATTTATCAATTGGAGTCAAACCGCCATCAACATCCCACAATAAGATTAATCCAAGTGATGCCATAGCACTAAACATTCCATGTTCTTTGTTCTTATAAAGCCACTTGTTTCCATCTTCCATCAATAACTTATCTTGACCGAATCCAGCATTAACGAAACCGTTTACAAAACTAGCTGCTAAATTCTGACGTGCGGAATCAACTCCAGATGATCCAAAATGAGCTCTAGAATTATCTAAATGTGATTTGTAGACGTCCTCTGGCGTTTTTGGTTCCATAATGTCCAATTCACGTGCCAAATTCAAAAAGTGTGCATTCAACAATGAATTTGACATGATATCAGTCAAGTCTTCAAAGTTGGCATAGCCTTCTGGTAGTTCCAATAAGACTTGCTGACGACCCAACATGAAAGCGAGTTGCTTCTGAGTAGCACTAAAAGTATTAATTATTTAACGGTTAAAACATATTTGAAAAATAACGGTCGACGAATATTTGAAAAATATTCTGTGAAATTCAAGTATATGAAAACCGTTAATAATTGTAAAACTTACAGATCTGGACAAGTGAGGAAGATATCCTTAATTTCGTCAAGATTATTTAACATTAATGCAATTCTCATCGCCTGTGTATGTTGCTTAAACTTCTTTGACAAGTTAAGAGCACATTTTAATAAGCTGACATTTTCTGGATCGGGTACATATGGTACACAGCTTTGAAGATACAAACAAACTCTTGGATATGCACTTTCGTCGACATACTTTTCTAATAAATTCAACTTTTCTACTTCCATTAAAAGATCACAAGCTTCAGCCTCAGCATTATGGGCCATATTGTATGGAATAATTTGATCAACAAGAATTTCTAATCTTTCACGAAATTGTTCTGATGCTTCATGCCAATTGCTAGCAATTTCACCGGAAAGATGACGAACATATTCATGTCCCCATAATCCTAAAGCACTTTCTTTAGAGTTCTCATCACAAAGTAATCGATAGACGAGACAATCTTTGCCTGTTCCCATCGTCATTGCCAATACGGAGATGATTTCAGCACATAATTTTAATATTCCCTTGTCTTTAACATTCTTTGTCATATTATTATGGACTTCCTTCATTGATTCATAATGAGGTCGCATAAATTTCAGTGGTTTTGGAACTGAAGTCATTGATGTTGTTGATGCTTTAATCTTTTCACCCAATTCTGTAAGTGCTGGCAAATACAGATCGACATTTTCTTGTTGTAATGTCTCGACTAGCTTGTTTAATTCTGCCTGTAACTGCTCGTCTTCGTCAGACTGCAAAGATTATTAGGGTTAATTAAGAAATTTTGATAAATCGATTAATTTCTTTAACTGGATCTATTGTAAACACTTTTAGCCATCTTAAAACTTAATTATAGATCATCAAATAAAGGAATTAGTTAAAGAAAATTGCATTATAACAAATAATGACTCGACAAAAAATAAACTTACCAATTCTTGCTTCTCTTCCGTCTTTTCCTCGGGTTTCTTTTGATCTACTTCCATTGGCTGTGGCTTCTCACTATTAGTCATGATGCTTTTATGTTATATTTCACTCTTAAGTAGCTGAATATCTGATTTATTTTAATGAAATTAATATTTTGCCGAAATTTCACAATTTATTGTTGATGAATTTGTCTTCTTGGCATTTGAATTCTGAAAAACCGTTAAAGATTGAAGATTTTTGATTTGAATTTAAATTTGAATTTTTTTCAACCGTTACAGATTGAAGATGTTGGAACTTACTATTTTTAGATATTCCCACTAATAAATAAGAGATACTTATATACACATATCATACATAAAAAGGATGAGAAATACACTTTTCTTTACAATCTGCATGCTAGAAATACTTTATTCTGATTTAATAATTTTTGATGTGACAGAATTCGTGATAAAATTTATTAAATTATAAGTTAATTAACATGATGCCTCTCATTTCCTTCAACTCATAAATATATATGTAAAGCAATAACAAAATTTTGCTAAAAAATATTAGTGAACTTTTTGTGGACATTAATAGAGAGAGAGGAACTTTAATTTATTCATTTCTTGTGTAATTTTGCAGTTTCCAATCCAGGTTCGCCTTTTTGTGCAAGTCCTGCAAGAAGTTTCTTGATTTCAGCAATTGCTTTGCCTGGATTTAAGCCCTTTGGACACGTGCGTGTACAATTCATGATTGTATGGCATCGATAAACACTGAAAGGATCCTTCAATGAATCCAATCGTGCCTGAGTAGATTCATCTCTCGAATCAATAATCCATCTATAAGCTTGCATCAAAACTGCTGGTCCCAAATATTTATCTCCGTTCCACCAATATGAAGGACAAGAGGTACTGCAACACGCGCACAAGATACATTCATATAAACCATCAAGCTTTGCACGATCATCAACTGACTGAAGATATTGAGCATTACCCTTTTCTTCAGTTGCTTCGTTTCTATAAGACAGACATAGATGCTAATTAATCTAATTCACGCATTATTAATTAATTTAATTATACTAGTGAATGACTTACTTGCGTTGAAGCCATGGTTGAATTGATCGATATTGATTATAGAAATTGTTCATGTCAGGAACTAAATCCTTAACGACATACATATGAGGTAGTGGATAAATCTTGACTGGTTTGTTCAAATTAGATGCATCAATCTTGCTGATACATGCCAAAGTATTGGTTCCACCAATATTCATGGCACAACTTCCACAAATTCCCTCTCGACAAGATCTACGGAAAGTTAATGTTGGATCCATTTCATTTTTGATTTTAATCAAGGCATCCAAAACCATTGGACCACAAGCATTAAGATCAACTTTATATGTTTGCATGTGTGGCTTTTCATTTGGATTCTCTGGATTATAACGATAAATGTCGAAAGACTTTAATCGTTCAGCACAAACTGACGTTGTTGTGTGAATTCCACGAAGCTAATAAGAAATAAAATAAAAAGAAAATGACATATTTATATACACTCTATGTCTATATGTATATCCACTAATTTGTTTCTCGGCAAAGACGTAAAAAGATTCTAAATTCACTGGATCTTTTGAAAAAAACATGAAAAACAGTTCATTTGAAGCAGAAACTTATTTAAATGTATATAAGGAATGGAAAATGATCATTGTCTGGAATTTCATAATCTGAGCTTTAAATTTTCACTAGCTTAGACTAATAAAAGTTATTCAATCAAAAACATGAAAACTTTTTAATTCAAGCTTGTTATTAATAATAAGCAACAACTTACAGATCCAAAGAAACTGCTTGACAGAAGCATCTTTGAGGATGAGCTAGCAAGTGCCATTTTCACTGTTTGATCTTGTCAATAATAGTTTTTCAGCTCCGAGAAATTACCAATCAAATAAAATTAAACAATACAAAGGCAAGTTTGGAACAGTACAAATGTTCTATAATCTTAACAACAAATCAAATTTTTATAATACGTTATTTTTGACTTTTTATTGATCTATTCTTCAGGAAGGACTTGTTTGTTTTGAATTACAATGCATATTTAAACATTATATAGTTCAGGCTAAGAAGTATATCAATATAAGTTATAAACTACGTTTTGAAGAAAGGCATCATTAATAAAGGATTAGAATCAGATTTGTGGTGAATATACTTTAAAATTTAAAAAACCGTTGAAAGAAAATATTACAACACAAAACAAAAATCATTAAATATAGCACAATAACAAAATGTTTCTAAAGCAAGTTATCATTTTCATAAACTTTACATTACCTGACAGTAAAAATTCAAACTGTCATCAGAAGGAGCGACTGCGTTGAATTGTATCAAGGGTATTTTTTGTGTTTAAATAAGAAATAAAGTAAAATTATTAAAATTAATAATGTTTGCTATAATCAATAAAATTTTGGACTGGTTTAAGTCATTATTCTGGAAAGAAGGTACGTAACGAGCATGGAAAACAGCAACAATATGTTATGGATAGCGAAAAAATGACAAAATATAATAATTCCATATCTTATCGCTCAGAAATTTTTGTATTATCATCATTTTCGATGCTTAATGTTGTCAATTTTCCTTTGTTTAATCCCTAGAAATGGAACTGACATTAGTTGGATTACAATATTCCGGTGAGTTCAAAATGCAAAGGACAATTTATTAGAATTTATAATAATTTTGCATTTTTCTTTGTACCAATTTTTGCATTAATAGGAAAAACGACATTCGTGAATGTAATCGCTGTAAGTAAATCCATCCACTTTCACTTACATCCATATCATCTACATAAATCTCAATTTGATAAGCACTCATTGACCTAATAAACGAGTCTGATATTTTCATTATCATCGTGTCAAAAACCTTAAAGCAGCATAAAGACTCAATATCGAAGGTTTTCCTTCTTTGTTTATCAGTATTTGTAGGATGATTCACAGCCTGTGTCGTTTAAACTGTCCGGATTATTTGACTATCAAATGATTATTGCTGCATCGACATGACTATGTTCAAAATAAGGCACATTTTAATTGAAATTGATGTACAGGCTTTATGTGGTCCATTGTGATTCATTTATTGATTTTTTTTTCTTCCCTACATTTCCATCTCCTATACATAACAATATTTTTCCCTATTATAAATGTTTAAGAATCGCTAAAACTAGATTTACTTAATTAATAATTAATTTTATTTTTTTGTAGTCTGGTAACTTTAGTGAGGATATGATTCCAACAGTTGGCTTTAATATGAGAAAAGTCACAAAAGGAAATGTTACTATAAAAGTGTGGGATATAGGTAATAAAGTTTATTTTGATGAGCAGGTGATGGATATAATTGTTGTGCATTAATTTAATTTTAGGTGGTCAGCCCAGATTTCGATCGATGTGGGAGAGATATTGTAGGGGTGTAAATGCTATCGTGTAAGTGACTGAATTTATTATCTCATAAATTATGTGTATAATTGACAACTTTATCCATCCACAGATATATGGTCGATGCAGCAGACTTAGATAAAATGGAAGCATCAAGAAATGAACTTCATTCACTACTCGACAAGCCTCAACTTGCTGGCATCCCAGTATTAGTTCTTGGTAATAAGCGAGATTTGCCTGGTGCATTAGAGGAAACGGGACTTATTGAAAGAATGTAAGGCATTCTTACTTTATTTTAAATGATGATTGAAGAGCTAATTTTTTCATTTCGTATTTTAGGAATTTGTCAGCCATTCAAGATCGAGAAATTTGTTGTTATAGCATTTCTTGTAAGGAAAAAGACAATATTGACATCACACTACAGGTAAGAAATAAAGATGCTTGCTAATTGCAAAAATTTTACTTGATAAATGGAGAGAGTGTTCATTATTGAAGTGTGGTATCTTAAAAATAAGTTTATCCTGATTCTAATTATTTTATTCAAATATGAAAGGAATCGAATCCTCGCTCACCAAATGTGTATATTCCAGTAATTCACTTTAAGGACCTTGTCACTTAGACAATTCGATATTTGTTTTGATGAGCTTTGTTACGGCTATTTGTCATACAGTTAATCAGGATATGCTTTTAAAGGAACAAAATCTGTTCTAAGAGTAAAAGTTAAGATCAATTGCCCTCCATTAGCTAAATCTTTAGAATGAAATTGTTTGAAATCTAATGAGCAATTGAAGTTAAACCATTTGAATCAGAACTAGCAATTTCAATACCGGGATCCCGGGGTCCGGACCGATTTTCCAATACCATAATCTCGGGATTAGAAAAGCTTCAATCCTGGGATTACGAGATCAAGATATACTTAGACTTTATCACAAATTTTGTTAATTTTAAAGTGTAAAATAATGAAAACCAGGATGTTTTTACCAAATATTTTAGAAATTCTTTTTAACTTACAGTTTTCTTTTCAAAATTTTCTAAAGTGTTTAAAAAAGTGTAATCGTATGCCTGTAGTAAATTCCAAAAATTTGAATATTTTTGAATTTTAAATAGATTTTATGATCATTCGAGTACATCTCTAATAAAGCTGCGATAAAATCTATTATTTGAATTACAAATTAAAGTTGGGGCCTGTCAAAAATAATAGGAATTTCAATTTAACCGTTTTAGTAAAATTCAAAAATTTCTCATATTTTCGAGCAAAATTACCAAAACTTTAATCAGCTGAAAATCTAATTAATACTCGTGAATTTGTAACTTTAACTCTTTTAAAACACAAAATAGAACCTTAGAAACATACTTTTGATAAAAATGATAATTTGAATGAACAAATAGAAGAAATAGCACAATTTGGTACAGAAAAAGTAAAATTTAAGCTGGGAATAAAGAAGTTATTAAAGGTTGTTTACACTCCAAATACCCTTTCCCGAAAATTCTACGTCATCGGTGGATATTCGAATGGCTCTACAAAAGGAACCAGACATGCTAGGAAAATGATAATGGTTTCAAACTCTTCGTCTCTGCGAATTCTATAATACCAGTAAAGAACATAATACAGTTTCATGGAAAAAAATCACAAAAAATGACTAAAAGTGGTCTCCGATGACGTAGAATTCATTTTTGACGGGCCCCAGTTATTGATTTTTTATAAAACAAAAGTTTTACAAAAGAATAGTCATAATAGCTCGACAAAAAAAATCAAATTTTTACTGAAAATTTTAAATCATTTTTGATATGAAAGGCTAAAAGATAATCTTTATAAAAATTAACAAAAGCTTTCATTGTAAAGTTAAAAAGTTCAGACAAGACAAGAAATGGAAATATTGATTTATTTGGAAAAACTTTAACTTTCTGGCTTAGTTTTCTACTTAAAATTTTTTAAATAATCTAATCAGAACAAAAATCAAGTATGTGATGGACACTCGCTCAATTTCCTGCATCATTCAATGTCGAAACTTCCTTGACATAAAAAATTTAAACCTTCGCTAGCAAATAATTTATTTATTATTAAATTACAGTGGTTAATCGCGCATTCGAAGAGTCAAGCCAGTCGTTAAGCAGTCATCTATAGTGTAAATTGATAATGCTTTTTATAAACATTATTTTTATTATTATTTCTTTAACATAAATCAAAAAATCAAGTGCATATTTTTTGGTTCATATTCTCTTCTACCACATTACATCAATATTATTATTATTATGATTATTAAGATGAAAAAGTCTGGCACATAAAATTTTAGCCACAATTGTATTTTTCCTTAGCTTTTGTTAAAACTTAATAAATGTGTTTGGTTCAAAATGACGCCTATAAAGTGAATAACATAGAGGAAAAAAAAATTAACATTTCATATCAAAATTTACCAGAAAAATCTCATTGCATCATTACAATTAATCGATAATAATTATTATAACTAATTCAACCAATTTTTAAAGACGAAGATCTTGTTCTATTCGAACCACAAAAAAATAGTCTTGTTCAATTTTTTGTTTTCTGTAACAACTCGATTGAAATTATTATTATTATCTGAGATCCCCGAAGAAATATTATTTTGTTTATTTTTGTGATAATTATTTTTTGAATGAAGATCCGAAGACAAATGAGAGCTGATGAATCGAAAGATAACTTATAAATATTAAGGAATAAGGAATTCAGATTAAAAATTGAAAATAGTCTTAAATTTAACCTTATTTAATTATATTATTATATTGTATTGATAACAAAGAAAACAAAATATCTATTATAGCAACTGTTCTTGACGTTTGATCCATTCAGAAAAAAAAAACATTATTGAGACTATACATAAAAATTATTATAGTTAAGCTTGTTTTTTGTAATAAAAAATATTAGAAAATCATAAATGAGCTGAATAAAATTGCTTACCAAAATCAAAACGACTTTATTAAACTAGTGTATCGGGTAGAAACTCAATGCGGATATATTCACACCGTACCATCAAAAGTCTTATGGAAAGACCAAGATTTGCTCAGCATAAATTTGAAGGGTGGGCGTGAAGCACGGCCGAGACCCATATCGATACAGTTCAAAAGTTATACCTAATTTTTGTCATAATTATGTCAGCTACAAAAACACTTAGTTTGAATTTTGTCACCCTTGGGAACAATATGAACCAGTACACTTACTTTACACTTATTTGAACCACATTTTCTCGTAAATATTAAAATATTATTAAAAAGGAATTAATCCTGATTTATGTCGCTATTTTGTCAAGTGTTTTAAGACAAAAAATTTGTTTTTTGGTTTCCACAGTGAAGAGTATGAACGAAATTCAGGTGGAGGAGTCGAAATTTTAGCTTTCGATTTTTTTAAATCTATGCATTACAAAAAGTAATATTGGTATGTGATTTTTGTCAGAATTATGTCAATTCAAATAAAACATCCAAAAAAAGTTTTGACCAAAGTACACCATAGAAAATCAATTTTCAATTTTGGACTAGGGGCGACCCTAGTCAAAATCAATTTTGTCACTTTTTTCTTCGAGGGTTTATCCAAATGGATTGAAACTTTGCATAAATATTCTAGTGCTTAAAACAAATACAAATAAAACATCCTAAAATGTTTATGAGCAAAGAACCAAGTAGGAAATACATTTTCAATTTTGGACTAGGGGCGACCCTAGTCAAAATCAATTTTGTCACTTTTTTCTTCGAGGGTTTATCCAAATGGATTGAAACTTTGCATAAATATTCTAGTGCTTAAATCAAATACAAATAAAACATCTTAAAATGTTTTTGAGCAAAGTCAAAATCAATTTTGTCACTTTTTTTCTTCGAGGGTTTATCCAAATGGATTGAAACTTTGCATAAATATTCTAGTGCTTAAAACAAATACAAATAAAACATCCTAAAATGTTTATGAGCAAAGAACCAAGTAGGAAATACATTTTCAATTTTGGACTAGGGGCGACCCTAGTCAAAATCAATTTTGTCACTTTTTTCTTCGAGGGTTTATAAAAATGGATTGAAACTTTGCATAAATATTCTAGTGCTTAAAACAAATACAAATAAAACATACTAAAATTTTTTTGAGCAAAGAACCAAGTAGGAAATACGTTTTCAATTTTGGACTAGGGGCGACCCTAGTCAAAATCAATTTTGTCACTTTTTTCTCCGAGGGTTTATCCAAATGGATTGAAACTTTGCATAAATATTCTAGTGCTTAAAACAAATACAAATAAAACATACTAAAATTTTTTTGAGCAAAGAACCAAGTAGGAAATACATTTTCAATTTTGGACTAGGGGCGACCCTAGTCAAAATCAATTTTGTCACTTTTTTCTTCGAGGGTTTATCCAAATGGATTGAAACTTTGCATAAATATTCTAGTGCTTAAATCAAATACAAATAAAACATCTTAAAATGTTTTTGAGCAAAGTCAAAATCAATTTGTCACTTTTTTTCTTCGAGGGTTTATCCAAATGGATTGAAACTTTGCATAAATATTCTAGTGCTTAAAACAAATACAAATAAAACATCCTAAAATGTTTATGAGCAAAGAACCAAGTAGGAAATACATTTTCAATTTTGGACTAGGGGCGACCCTAGTCAAAATCAATTTTGTCACTTTTTTCTTCGAGGGTTTATCCAAATGGATTGAAACTTTGCATAAATATTCTAGTGCTTAAAACAAATACAAATGAAACATCCTAAAATTTTTTTTGAGCAAAGAACCAAGTAGGAAATACATTTTCAATTTTGGACTAGGGGCGACCCTAGTCAAAATCAATTTTGTCACTTTTTTCTTCGAGGGTTTATCCAAATGGATTGAAACTTTGCATAAATATTCTAGTGCTTAAATCAAATACAAATAAAACATCTTAAAATGTTTTTGAGCAAAGTCAAAATCAATTTTGTCACTTTTTTCTTCGAGGGTTTATCCAAATGGATTGAAACTTTGCATAAATATTCTAGTGCTTAAAACAAATACAATTAAAACATCCTAAAATGTTTATGAGCAAAGAACCAAGTAGGAAATACATTTTCAATTTTGGACTAGGGGCGACCCTAGTCAAAATCAATTTTGTCACTTTTTTCTTCGAGGGTTTATCCAAATAGATTGAAACTTTGCATAAATATTCTAATGCTTAAAACAAATACAAATAAAACATCCTAAAATTTTTTTGAGCGAAGAACCAAGTAGGAAATATATTTTCAATTATGAACTTGGGACTATGCTTTCTCGAAATCCCGGTCCCGACAAATTTTCGGGATCGGGATCGGGATTGAAATTTTTCGGGATTTCCCGGGAAATCCCGGGAATCCCGAATATGTAAAAAAATTTAAAAAACAGCATTTTTCTGCTTTTTTTCCCAAAAAAAAAATTTTTTTTTTTTGCTACTTATACGGTCATTTATTCCTTAATTAATTAGTTATACTTTATGTGTTACAAGGTAGATGTTTTAATCCATGTTTCCTTTGAAAAATGTGAACATAAACAAAAATAGAAAATAAATGTTGATAAAGATGTAAGTTTAAAGGTTATAGAAAACGGTGTGAATATAATAATAAAAATTAAGCATTAATGAAAAAACTTTTAACAAATGCAAT